TATGATTATTGAAATCATTGTGATATATGGGATCCATGGAAGGAAATACCGAGTTGGTATCGATAACCTCCTTGTGCTACTAATTGGTGGCATCCCTATTGCAATGCCAACTGTCCTTTCTGTTACAATGGCCATTGGTTCACATAAGTTATCTCAGCAGGTTTGCAATACTACACTTAGTAAATTGATTCAAATTTCAAACATTTCAGTGGTTTTTATTGGATAAGTGCTTATTATTTTTAAGTTTTGACTATATATCTTTTCGAACTTTGGCTAATGGGTATGATGGGTGTATCCTTTTCAGGGTGCTATAACAAAGAGAATGACTGCCATTGAAGAAATGGCTGGAATGGATGTGTTATGCAGTGACAAAACTGGGACATTGACTCTGAACAAGCTTACAGTGGACAAGAATTTGATTGAGGTCTTAATTTTATCTTACAACTATAGAATTGAGCATAAGAATTAGTTGGCTGGTTTTTTTTTAATCTCAAATGCTAACTATTTGTTTTCCCAACAATTATCAATATCTGGCAGGTTTTTGCCAATGGTGTTGACAAAGACATGGTTGTACTTATGGCTGCAAGAGCATCAAGGCTAGAGAACCAGGATGCAATTGATTGTGCAATCGTTTCAATGTTGGCAGACCCAAAGGAGGTAGAAGTTCAAAGATACCTTATTAGAATAATGGCACTGAAGCTTTTTGCATTGAATTCCACAACTTCTATCCATTTGTACATGATAGCTTACTTAATATCCAATTGACAAACAGAAATTTTTCTTTACTCAAATAATAGAATTTTGCAAAGTTTCCACCATCTTCTGTAGTTGAAATTTGGTTAGTCTATTGATGGTCCTCTAATTTTGCAAGGCACGTGCTGGAATAAAAGAAGTTCACTTCCTTCCGTTCAATCCAACCGATAAAAGAACTGCACTGACATACCTTGATCATGCTGGTAAGATGCACAGGGTTAGCAAAGGTGCACCAGAGCAGGTAGAACATAAATTCATTATAACTTTAAGAACCATACTACCTACCAAAGAAACATTGTTTGATCACTATTTAACTCTTTTCTTATACTGTATAGATTCTCAATCTTTCACGTAACAAATCAGAAATCCATCAGAGAGTTCATGCAATTATTGACAAGTTTGCAGAGCGTGGACTTCGTTCTCTTGCAGTTGCCCGCCAGGTTTGTCCTTCTATGAATGTTTCATCATTTCATTCGTTTATCACTATATTTTTTTATACCAATATTTTTTTTATCTCAATTCAGGAAGTACCTGAGGGAACTAAGAACAGTCCAGGAGGACCATGGGAGTTTGTTGGCCTTCTCCCTCTTTTTGACCCTCCTCGCCATGATAGTGCAGAAACAATCAAAAGAGCTCTTGATCTGGGTGTGAGTGTCAAAATGATCACTGGTATGCGTCAACATCACTTGATGTTCATTTAAGAGTATTGCAAATATCATTGTTTCATTAACAAATGAGATTATTTCTCTGAAAAAAATAAGTTCTAGACATAAATCTATGCTAGATTGAAGTGAATTCATAATTTGTGTTGAGTGGAAAACTTTAAATGTCATTTATTTGGATACCCCATGTAATCTCTGTCCAGTATTTAAGAAATTTTATCCATGCATAGAAGGACTACTAGAATAAACCTATTTGTTGCCATACTGATAAATAATTGAGAACCTCGATTTCATTAATTTTTTAATTACTTGCATTGTTAGACAATTCATATAAAATAGTTGGATGGCGTAACATGACATGTAACAACATTTCCAACACCCTGAAACTTTTAATTCTAAAGGAAAACCAATCTCATTGGATACTATAGTGAACAAAGGTAGAAGTTTGTGATAGTTTATCTGCTCGTAAGAGATTCTAACTCTATAGCATTGTCCTTGTGTTCTTTGTGTGAACTAATTTAATTTTGATGTGCACAAGTAAGAAAATTCATGTCAGATACTCATGCAATGATGCTACAAAAACAACCTTTCAGGTGATCAACTTGCAATAGGTAAGGAAACAGGAAGGCGTCTAGGGATGGGAACTAACATGTATCCTTCTTCATCACTGCTTAGTGAAAATAATGAATTGGGTGCAGTCTCGGTTGACGATCTCATTGAGAATGCTGATGGTTTTGCTGGAGTCTTTCCTGGTAAGCCAAGAAAGCAGTGATCACAAAGTAGCTCTAAATGTCTTGTTCAATTTCTGATAACATGTTTCTCTCAGAGCACAAGTATGAGATTGTGAAGAGGTTACAAGCTAGAAAACACATTTGTGGGATGACTGGTGATGGGGTGAATGATGCACCTGCCCTGAAGATTGCAGACATAGGTATTGCTGTTGCAGACGCTACAGATGCTGCCAGAAGTGCTTCTGACATAGTGCTAACAGAACCTGGGTTGAGTGTGATCATAAGTGCAGTCTTAACTAGCCGTGCAATTTTCCAGAGAATGAAAAACTACACCGTAATCCCACAACTATAAACATATGAAAGTGAAATTATTTCTAATTTTTCCTAGTTTGACAACAAATCACGTTTCTTTTTCTCTTTTCCTTTGCAGATATATGCTATATCTATCACTATTCGTATTGTGGTAAGTTCTTTTTACAGAGTATATTCAGCAATGAACTGGATCATCAAACTTCTCATTTTCATTCTTTTTCCTTCATCACAGCTTGGTTTCATGTTGCTGAACAGCTTTTGGAGCTTTGACTTTCCTCCCTTTATGGTCCTTGTCATTGCCATTCTCAATGATGGTAATATTAGCTACTTTTTCTAGTATCTTAATTTTAAGTCTTATGATAATTTGGTGGTCATTATATGATAGACTCAGCTTTCTTATGGCATGAATTGTTAACATCCTCATAGGTACCATCATGACAATATCTAAAGATAGGGTTAAACCTTCTCCATTTCCTGATAGTTGGAAGCTGAGTGAAATTTTTGCAACTGGAATTGTTCTTGGCAGCTATCTGGCTCTAATGACTGTGATCTTCTTCTATATAGTCTTCGAAACAAACTTCTTTCCTGTAAGGATATTGCTTTCACTTGTCCACTGCTTTGTTTTTCTTTCATGCAATGATATGATAATGAAATATTCTGCACCAGGACCATTTTGGTGTGAGGCACTTCCGCGCAAGTCCTCATGATCCAGTCACTGATGACATGAATAAAAGGTTGGGATCTGCTGTCTATCTTCAAGTCAGTACAATTAGTCAAGCCTTAATTTTTGTGACACGGTCGAGGGGTTGGTCCTACACAGAAAGACCTGGTCTTTTGCTTGTTACAGCCTTCATTATTGCTCAGGCGGTATGTGGTTTTCTTCACATTACATTTTCATACTTCTAAAACTATGTGAACTTTCTCAGGCGAAAGCCTCACTATTCCATTTCACTATATTCTGAACAGGTTGCAACTGTTGTATCTGCCACTCTTTCTTGGGATGTTGCTGGGATTAAAAGTATAGGTTGGGGATGGACAGGAGTCATTTGGTTATACAATTCTATAACTTATGTATTTCTGGATCCTATAAAGTTTGGTGTTCGTTATGCATTAAGTGGAAGGGCGTGGAATCTGATGGTAAACCAAAGAGTGAGTACTATGACTGAACTTGTGATAAAACTTCGGCAAATATTTGTGTAGAAAATAAATGAACTTAAGTCTAAGAAGAAATGAGTTCAAAACAAAAGAATTATTCCAGTTAGTATGTTGTAGTCTCTAAGACTCTCTCATATTGCATTACCGTACTAATATGACTTTTTGTTAATGCAAATTAACAGACTGCATTCACAAACAAAAATGACTTTGGTAAAGAAGCTCGTGAGGCTGCATGGGCTGCTGAGCAGAGAACCTTACATGGCCTTCACTCTGCTGAGTCCAAAGGGTTTACAGAGAAGCACACCTTCAGAGAAATAAATACATTGGCAGAAGAGGCTAGGAGGCGAGCAGAGATAGCAAGGTTAGTGTCTTTGTTCGTCTTCAAACTGTTTTTAAGTTTTATTTTACCTTTCCATGATTTTTTCTTTTCCCCCTTTTTATTTTTTTTTTCCCTTATGACGCAGGCTGAGAGAGCTTCACACTCTGAAAGGCAGGGTGGAATCATTTGCCAAGCTAAGGGGTTTGGACATTGATACCATGAATGGGCACTATACTGTCTAAGATTCTGTGCTTACTATCTATCATCATTATTCTGCCATATGGCTCTTTAAATTTCTTGTACTATGGCTTTGTCTCTTATCAGAGTACAGGTTATACTTAAAAAGTGTTTCTTCTGATTTTATTGTACTTTTCATTCAAAACATTGGTTGCTTGCTCTTTTCTCCTGTCTTTCTTCTTTTGGGCTAATTGTACCTATTGGGTTACAATATTGTTATTTACACATATCTCTCCTTGGAAAGTCCAAAATATTTTATTTGTAACCTTTTTTAGTGTTGCTGGAAAACATGCATGGACAAACTTCTAAACAAGTTATTAAAATAGGATTTTGTTAACCTCTGCCCTTGAGGCTGAGTTTAAGCATTCACAATAAAAAAAATTTATAAAAAAAGTATAGTTATTGTATTATATTTATAAAAATACAGTAAATATTTCTCTTTCTAATAAAATTTTATTATTATTAGCTGCTTATTCTCGGGGCTAAAGTTAACAAAACAGTAATGGCAAGAGTTGTGTTCTCATTCAGGAATTGTGTTCAGCTCAAATTCTGTTATTTATCAACTAGTGCTTAATACATTTAACACCTGTACAAAACCTTAGCTCTTAAACTTGAGTATCTGAGTAGTTGATTTGTTATTACGCTAGTTTAATCACAAGTAATGAAGTATGACCTCGAACCGATCTTGTTACTATGTTACTGGAACTCGTTTCATTCACAAACATAAAAAAAACTTGTTATTGAAGCAACTTCCTATGAATGTTTATTCAAATACAGTGTGGAGTTATAACTGCTCCACACCTTATCCTTTAAAGTAAATTAGAGAAGCCAGATTCATGCGTCATATATAAAAGAAATGAATTGTTAAAATCACAATAAGATCTACTCCATCCCACATAGCTCATAAGCTTCCATCTAGCTCAGAAAGTTATTGAATAGTGAGGATCTTTCTGGACATGACTTATCCAACACAGTCTTCAGATCTACATCTCTTATCTTCTCTAGGAGCTCATTTTCCAGAGGCTTGGGGACTTGCTGATACACATAATGCATGTAAGATGGCCTGAGAAAGCAATCCAACTAACCAGACTTAAAATGGAAAGTCTAACAGAAAAATAATCCACGTACCACTTTCAACCATAGTATGTAACTAGCACAATATGTGGCTTGTGCTTGGAAATCGTCAAAATCATTATCAACAAAAGATGAGCAGGAGAGGAAAAGACATAATTCATTCTGCAGAAAGGTGCCAGAGTCACGATACATGCTGACTCCCTCTTTGGAATGGTAGGATGCATCTCCAGAATTAGTTAGAAAGTTATTTATCCAGCACATGGAAAGGAAGCGACGATGAAGCCATAGAGCCTGTTCAAATTGAGCAACATTGAATGCCTAAACAAGAAAATTACTGAAGTAGAATAACGATGCATTCAAGGAACCATAACTATAAAATTTTATTCAGGGTTAAATATATTTTTAAGTCATTATAAAATTGTCAATTTTTGGTGTTAGTCCTTGATTAAATTTTATTCGTTTTTAGTCCGTATATTTAACAAAAGTAGTGTATTTTTAGTCACTCATATGATGATTAAAATTTGATAATTTTATATGGCTAAAATTATATTTAACTCATATCACTTTAGTGACTAATGAATAATGATGACCAATAATAAATTAATAACAAACACAGGCCACCTACCTCTCTTCCCAAATAACGTTTTATCAATGTTTCATTCCAATCAAGTTCATCCTGTCAAACCATAATTATCATAGTTAAAAGAACTAATTTATGGGCACTGATAGTAATATAAGGTGGCAAAAATGATCAGGATGATACAGAAATATCAGTTCTATTAGTCAATCTGCAGTTCTTTGTTTTCCCTTTCTAAATTTCTGTAAAGGAGACACACGCTACTTGATCTTTTCTGTGCAGTATGTGGTGAGCTGAATTTTTCAATGATAAAACATTGTCAAAACCAAGTCCTGACATAGAATGCAACTATCAAGACCATCACTTCAAGTAGCAAAGCATGTAAGCAAATATAACAAGGACTATTCAAATTGAAAACCATGAATCAAGCATATTTTGTAGGGTACCTAATGAAGAGAGAGCTTGTTTGGATGAGCTCACTAGTTTGCAAATCTTGCAAACATTTTTGGTTCCAACTTTATTTTGACGTTTGAGTTTTCAATTAAAAATTAGCTTTTAATATACATTAATACATCATACAGTACAAATACCAAATCAATTATTTAGTAAAATTTCATAACTCAAGTATATTGTAGCTTAAGTGTTTCAATGAAAAAGTTTTAACACTATCAAATTTCTCAATCATTTGGAGCTCATGTGATGCCATCAGGTTCCATTCCATTCTATTTTAAACAACCCCAAATAATGGCAGCCAGAAATTCAAATTGTAGAACGCATCATGTGATGCCACTACAACATCTCAGTAGCAGTAATCAGACTATGACAACAGTAGTGCAACCGAGACCACAGCCACTAGCTAATGTTATTCCATTTCATTCTACTCCATTCCATCTCTTTATATCAATCAAAATGTAATATGAAAGACTCAAAATAAAGAGCCTATGATCATGAACAATAAATGAGTGTAACTACTACCTTCAAGGCTTGAATAACGTTAGCATTATGACCACAAGTTACTGTTTCTTCCACAAAATTTTGCTCCTCCATGATTTTCAGCAATAATTGCTACAATATAATAATGTAAGTGATTGTCAAGACTGTAGAATCCCAAGTTTATCAAAGGACATATAGAACTATGATTTCTTACTCAAAAGGTATATAATTCATGGAACTATAACCATTCAGTATCAGGTTCAAACAAGAAATCAAAACTTACTCTGCGATAATGAAAGCAACAATTATCAGCAACATGCAGCGCAGCCCAACTTCTGCATTTCTTTAACTCGTACATCACCTAAATAAGTACAGCTTTAATTTACAAACTTCATGAGAAACCTTCACTGTGTCATTTACAAGGTAATATATTTCATTTGATGAAATTACTTTCGATGGAATGGAATGGAAAGGAAATACCAATGAAATTAAATGTTGAATTGTTGACTCCATGACTGCATTCCATTTTTATGTTTGATATGCTATAACTAAATAAGCTCGGCTCAGCTTAATTTGGGCTAACCATAATTATGTGTCAAGCAGGTATTGCGTGACTCATTTTAAGGAATACTTATTTATTCCTACAACTGTCAGAATGTTCAATCCCCTTCAAGTAGCTAACCAAACATGGGAATGAGCCCATTTTATCCAATTAAACATGGAATAATAAGATTAGTATATCCCATAGCTCCAACAACTACAGTAAACATAAAACTAAATATGAGTAAATGCGACAAGACATTTTCAAAAAGAGAAAACAACTATGTTGATATGTATATAATTTGGAGTTTAGGACTACATGTACAACCTTTAATGTATAATTGCTAGTGCATTTCATTATTTACCATGAAATTTGATCCAGAATTCATGTCATAATAACACTTACAACAAATAAAAATATCATATAATCAATATACCTGTTCAATAGTCATGCGTGGGATTAACCAGCAACGGTGATTCCATGCACGGTAATTCATTTTTGATCTCTGTAAATGATGGGGTACCAACAAGGAAAATGGATATTTAATTCAAACTAATGTTGTTCATCTGATATGACGTATTTAACATGACAAAAAGGTGAAGCATTATATAAATTTCCCCCTCAATCTTTTTTTCCTTCTTTAGGATAATGTTTTGGGATTATTTAATATTTACAGTACAAAATGGATTGAAATATCAAAGGTCTCAACAAGAAAATGCAAATGATGCATATGACAAATGTTGCAATAGAATATTATATATCCCCTGTATTGAACAAAGACCAGAAAAAAAGGAAAAGAAAAGCAACAATTATCCTTGTTATGAAGGCCCATCAAAATTATAAAAGCATAAAAATAATGTTTCCAAGTTAAAACAGTGTGCTGTTCTTGTACTGAAATTAGACCTCAGCTATTTTTTCCACCAGCTCAGATTCTTTTCCCAAAATCTCTTTGAAATTTGAACAGTTTGCAGAGATTGACTTGATCACCCACCGCCTAGATAAAATACTTCTATGCATTAGATTGTCATTCACGTTCAAAGCCTTAGGATCAATTAATATTCAAAACTCAAACCTATATAATATCTAGAAATCATTTATCCTTTTAGTGATGTGGACAAAGTCATAAGAAGCTTCACATTTATACCTATGATTCCAAGCTTGTTCGCTTTTGGGTGAATTTGAGAGAACAAGTTCTGACAGGAGAAGTTCATCTATAAACATTGAGAGCTGCTTCTTCTTGGACACTATTAACTTTCTGCAAAGTTAGGAACAAAAATCAAATTCCTACCATGTTTTCTCCATTTTTGTATCTTTTCGTGCCTTACAATTCTAGATGTAAAATGTCATTTTCAGTATATATATGCTAATGCCTATTACATTTTCAAAATCATAGAAAACAGAAAACAAAGTTAAATTAAGATCACAACTTCAAACTGTTATAAAATCACAAGGTCTTATATTTTTGCCAAATTGCCAACATTTTCTCAAAGCCTATAAACAAAAGCATATCACAAAATAAACTCAATTCAAGAAAGAAATTTTTTTACTCATATTTTGACTCCCAAACAAAAGACAGAATTACTAGAATCAACCCATCATTTATGATCAAATGCAGAATACCTAAACCCAGTAACCACTGGGGATATTTTCAATTTAAAAGCAAATAAGAAAACAGTCTAGTTGTGCTTTGAAACATTATTTTTAGCTAGGTTCAACAACAATTTTCAAATAACATATTAAAAGTTATCAAAATGCTAACCGCTTTCCCTTTATTCTTTTAAGATACAAATGAGAAGATATTACCCACAATCAAACGGGCCCTCATTTTACCTGGATTTCTAATATTGGAGGTAAAGATAACTGGAAGTACAATAACAAGTTAACAATAACAACCAAGCCTTCTCCTATGAGTTAGGGTTTCCTATTGAATCAAACAATGTCATTGTATTCTTAAATGAACCAAATCCTCAAAAAGTACATTTCGATATTGGTCATTTCAATCAGTGGTTTCACCTAGAGTATTTCTAGGTCTCCCTCTCTCTAACTACATGGCTATCCTACTTACTCAAGCAATCAGCTTTCCACATGACCAAACCATTTTCGGTGAGATTCCATCATCTTTTCCTCAATAGATGCTATCCCTATTTTCTCTTCAATGCATTCATTACAAATCCTATCTTTTATATTCCTTCATACACTGCAACATATTGAGCAACACTGAGCTTATGCTCTTCCTGACTCTTTACCACCTATCATTTAGTACGATATAGTATCACAGGTCTGATGGCCATTTGGTAAAATTTCCTGTTAGGTTAAAAGGGACCTTTCAATCATATAAATGAACGGAAATATAATGTTGTTTGGACAATTGGACACAGGAAAATGCTACCAAATAAATCAGTAATTATGAGCAGTTGAAAACAACATATTGGAATCAGTCAACTAATGATGTTTAGTTATAGATGCCAACGACAGAAGCATAAAATATGATCGAAATAAAAGAGGAGGACCTGCAATTCCAAGCAGTCATAAAATCACAGCTTAGCAGCAGAAGAGACTTGCTGCTTCTCAGAAGTAGACTGTCAAGATGGCTACAAGATGAAGAGGCAGGTAAACAAATGTCAACTTTGTCAGATTGATTGCCACATATCCTGTATTGTTTAAATGTAGTCATAAATGCATGTTTAGCAGCTCTATACAAAGGTAAAAGAACATCAGTTGAAATTCCCAATTTATGATCTCTGTTCCAGAAAATTAGACTGTCTTGTTTGGAAGATTCCTCAAAGCCTACAATCCTGTCTGATGAGTGATGAATAGCACCAACAAATAAATTAGATGAAATGCCTGATTCTTCATGGAGCAAGGAAAACTGGGATGGATGAATATAGCCCAGCTCATCACTGGATCCAAAAGCATGAGAAACATATTAAAAAGAGGCAACACAACATAGTTCATTCAAGTAACAAAGAATTAAGATTGACCTCAACCAAGGCATTGCTAACAAGGTGTTACTCTAACAATCAAAGATATATCTTATAATAATTTGTATCATCAGGTTATATATTATTATATTTTGTTTCATCCAGAGACTTCATATGAGTGATGTTCACAAAACTTACTAAAAAAATAGAATTATTTTTTTATCGAAACTACAGAAACTACTGTTAAGCAATTATCAGGGCAAGTCTTACATCAGTTTGTGAGCATAAATCATTAAATCTTACATTAGAGCATCAGATTCAAGGATGTCCTCCAACTGATGCAAGAGATCCATTGGGTCCCTTTTAGAATTAAACTCTTCACTCATATTTGCTATCTTGAATCATGCCAAAGGTACCAACTTCGAACAAAACAAAAAGATGGGATCAATAGCCAAATCAATCTAATTAAATAATAAGTGTCAAACTCATTGCATTAAAAAAGAAACTCTGTGGCTTTGCAGATAATAAAGTAAACAATAACAATCAATCAATCCATTTCATTTAACAAATAGATGTATCAGTTACATAGTTCATGACACATTTTCAAAAGTAAGTTTTGAAGTCCTTTGGCAACTACAAGGTTAAAACACAACAAACCTTACCAATCTGAAAAAAACAAAAATGGCAAAAAACCCAGTATATCTGTCTTAAATATGTATGTGTGTGTGATAAGAAGAATTAGCCTCAAATTCCAGCCAGAAATTGCAGCAATAACCCAGTAACAAGAACCTACTAAGTAAAAGATTTGGACATTTAAGAATTAGCCTCAAACTCCATTTCTAGACATGAAATACATCTCATACATTCCTCAAAGCATCACCATTTCCTCTTTTCTAAGGCAAACCAAGCCAAAACCATGACCCTTGTGCACCAGTGCAGTAAGGTCTCTCTAAGGCATTTTCACAAACAGGCCATAGGCAGTACCAAGATCGCCCCTTCTAACTTGCCTGAACAAGACCCAGATGGGATTATTTACACGTGAAGTTAATGTCTAAAAAAACAAAAAAAAAAGTGACCCTACTTTCCTTTGGAGAAAAAGGGTCATCATTGTCATTTAAAAATAAAGCCTTGTTTGATTTACAGTTAAAAAATTACATTTTTCAATGAAAAATGTAAGTTCAATGAAAAATTTACGATTCAGATTATTTTTTTATGCTTATCAATCATGTTCAACCATTTAAAATCAATCCTTCTTAATTCTAAACTAAAGTAACACTAATTAGTCAAGCTAATTGAAGAGAAATAAAAACAGCTTACAGAAAAAACCAAAAGTGAAAGGGAGTGATGCAATTGCAAAGGGAATGAGACTATTAATATGAATCAAAGTTTGTGTTTAGAAGAATTACCAATTGCCCTGTGATCCCTCCTCAACCGTCATGCCAAACATCAAAGTGTGTGAAATCGCGTTACTATTTATTCTTATAATAAAATAGTTAACTAATAATTGTTCGAGTAATTAATAATTCACTCAATTCGATCCACTTCTTATCAATTAATGTTAACACGTCCACAATTATATATAAAAAGAAATTATTCAAATATTTTTTTATTAAAAACTATAATATTTAATAATATTAAAGGATTAAATTATATTATTTTTAATACAAATTTACTACATATAATGTTTTATATCAATTAATCAAATTTTCTCTTAAATATTTTAAATTTATATTATTTTCTCATTTCCCCAACGTTGACAAATCCTTGTGCAATATATGAAAGATTGCTACTCATAATTTTGTTCCTTGATTTTATTTTATTTTTCCATCATTTTTAAAAGTGACAATATTAAGAACTAATCAATTTCGTAATAATCCACTTCAATTATATTTTTATTTAATTTTCTCTTTCTCTTATCCATTAAATTTATATTTTTATGACCATTCACTATCATCAATTAATATCTTCAACTCCTAGTGCTTAACATGCAAAAATAATAAAGCATATCGATTTTAAACTTCAATTTCAAATTTCAAATTTAAACATTCTTTATTATTTTGTTACACAAATATAAATTTAAAATATAACTATTCATTTGTTCTAAATTCTAACAACTTCTCCCCATTAAACCTTCCCCACCTTAACTTTTGATAATAAATGTGTTTAGGTAGGAGGAATTGAAAAAAAGGCAGGAAAGGTTTCTCAATCAACTTCAATCTCAAAATATAAAGAGTATAGATGCATTCTTTCTCCTTTCCACCATTTCATTGATTTATTTTTTCTTATATTAATATTAAATTCTTATTTTGTTTTTAGGATTTAACATCTCTTGTACATTATCAAAGGATCTTTGATTTATTTGTTAATTCTTCAATTTATATTTTTTACTTAGATTTTGCCTTTCATTAAATGACTTTAGTTTTTATGGTTTCCTCTCTTCATTTTTTTATTATTTTATATGTTGTATTATAATGTTTTCTTCAATCAAGAGTTGTGAAAAGGTAAGTTTTTTGTTCTTATTAATCAAAATCAACAATAAAGAGAGGGGAAACAAAGCAAAAGAACTCTTTTATTTAATAAAATTCAATAACAAAAATAAAATTACATTTTTAATATGATAATTATTAAAATGCTCGTATATTACACGGTCAATAAACTAGTTTGAGTGCATATACGGCAATTTTATTTAAATAATGCAATTTTAAAAATTATTTCTAAAAATAAAGTTAATTAAAAACTATTTTTCTGTCTGGAGCTTTTTTTTGCTATGTAAAGGAGTGTATCAGAGGTTTACAGACAATACTGTTTTTTTATTATTTTTTAAAATAGTCGCACATATCTAGTTGATACTCACTCCAATGACACGTGTCAAGCGCAGAACTAGTATCTCACTTTTTTGGACGATAGTGCTATTTTTACTTTTGCAGCGATATTACTATCTCCATATCAGGTCCGATACTAAGCAAGATGTTGATACGTGCATTAATTTAAAAAATATTAAAAATTATAATTTAAAAATATTTAAATTTATAAATTTAAGATTATAAATTTAAAAAATACTTAAGATTTAAATTTAAAATATTTAAAATTATGATTTTTAAAAAATTAAAATTATGAATTTCAAAATAACACGAGACTGCAAGCAATAATTCAACTAATCATGTAATTTTAGCTCTTAAAAAATTAGAAAAAAATTTCATAACTTGATTTAAAATAAGGTACTTGCTGTTTTTTTTCTCCATACTAATGGTGTTAATTAACGAACAAAATCTATATATTATTTTTCTAAGAGAAATTTAATATTACGATAAATAATTCTGGAACAACAAATAATGAAGATTATAAATTTCAAAATAAAATTATGAATAATAAAAAATTAATTTTAATTATAGTATTAATTTTTAGTTAAAAAATTAGTTAAATAAAAAAAATTAGACATAACATCCATAAAAATAAAAATTTAATTTATAATTATCTGACTTATTTAAATAATAAATTTTTAAAATTTTATTAGAAATCATAAGATATTTATTTTAATTTTAGTATTAATTATTACTAAAGATAATCTTAATTATCTTTTATATTCATATTTTTAAAATTTAAAATTTTAATTTTTTAAATCATAATTTTAAATATTTATAAATTTAAATCGTAAGTATTTTTTAAATTTATAATCTTAAATTTATAAATTTAAATATTTTTAAATTATAATTTTTAATATTTTTTAAACTAATGCCACTGTTAACATCTTAGTATCGGACCCGATACGAAAATAGCAGTATCGCTGCAAAAGTAGAGATAGCATTATCATCCCAAAAAGTAAGATACTAGTTCTGCGCTTGACACTTGTCATTACTGGAGTGGGTATCGACTTGATATATGCGATATTATTTAAAAAAAATAAAAATAGTATCATCCGTAAATCTCTAATACACTTTTTTATGTAGAAAAAAAAAGTCTCAGACACAGAAAAATAATTTTAATTAATCTTATTTTTAGAAATAGTTTTTAAAATTATATTATTTAAATAAAATTGCCTGCATATACAAGTTTTGTCAATAAAAAATCTAAAGACATAACGAGTTGCTAAGAAAATAAGGGGAAACAAAAGAAATAAAGTAAAAATAAAAAAATAAAAAATCAAAGTCAAACAAAATAGAAGAAGAAATTCTCTACTCACGATGAATATGATAATAACCCTAAATTGTACATTAAGAAAGATGACAGAACTCAGAGAATGGAAAGAAATTAATAAATTTTAAAAAAATACAGATAAAATTGAAAAAAAACTTATTACATTTGAATTACACTGTGACTTTATAATTTATGAGAATGTAATTAACTAATTAAATATTAAGTATCAACAATATAATAAGATCCTAATTAATTTCTATTGACCAAAAACCACCCACAATGAAAAAATGCTACATAAGAATTTAACAAACCCAACATGAACTATTTTACTTCAAAAAATACTGAATTTTTAAGTAATTAAGAGATACTTTAATACTCATGATAATTGAATATGTTGATATAGACTTAGAATGAGAATTTAGGTATAGATGAGTGTTATTAAATGAGAAATAGAAACTCAAAGAGCAAATAAGCCCAATTATTGACTCACAAGCAAATATTTATATACATTTCTCTGTGCAGATACAACCCCTCAAACTTTAGAAGAGAAAACTTTAGATTTAAATATTTTCTTTATATTTAAAATGCAATTTTAAAAAATGTATATACAGAAAAAATAAAAAGTAAAGTAAAAGATAATAATTGTAATAGGAGTTAAATTTTGTTTCAATTGCAAAGCTAATAAATTTTTTCTCATGAATTATAAAAAATTATGTTTCTCTATATTTTAAGAAGTTCTTCATTTAACTTTGTTATTTTTAGCTTATAAAAGAAGTTTTATTTAATTTTTATATTCATTTTTTATAAGAAATTTTCAAAAAAATTATCTGTTTATATATATATATATATAAACTTCTTTAAAATCTTATCCAAACTGAGTCCTACACCACCTTCAAGCCATTAAGTAGTTTTGCCTTAACAATGTAGTGACTAGTTACTTCTTAAATTGCTAGACAAAGAACCTTGGGTATATTAATTCTATAACTTGAAAGCAATTTAAGCTTATAAGATACCATCCCAAGCTTTTCCAAAATTGAAATGAGCCAAAGTATTTTATGGGCTGATTTTCAGTTAATATGTCATATTATTATTTATTGCATATGAAACTGCAATTAAGCTTGAGGAAGATCAACTCACCAACAGAAAAAAATGACAACTTAACACTTCTTGTTAACAAAACCTTTCATTTGTTCATGGGTCTTCAACAAATGATGTTTTAACTACCTAAGTGCTTCATCATAATCCTATGTTTGTTTTTTTTAACAATTACTTCTGTTTTTTTGCCATACACTAAATAATCAATGTAGTTCCCATTTAGATAAGAAAAGAGGTATTGTAACACAATTTTGCTCAAGGAAATCATATGACCAATTATTTGATTATTCAGAAGCTTAGTTTAACCTTCAAAATTTAGATTATATGAAAAAATTATTTTAAGATATCCTTCCAAAAATACCCAAATAAACTTTATCAATCATTAATTGTAGACATATGAATGTCATTCGACTTGACTTCTTCCTTTGCAAAGATTTTAACCACTATTTTTGAAAAATAAATCTTCTATAATTTTGATGCGAACTGCAATATAAAATTAGTGTATTTTTTTCATTTTCTTTTAGACAAAAATTTATTCACTTAAATGAAAATAAATTGTAGACCACAGTTTCTGCAAAAGAATCATTATTTTTATTGTATAAGAATAGTTGAAAAGGATAATGTAAACATTTTGATAATCTACTCACTACAATTAATACAGTGTCACATCTACTCAACATTTATTTTATTTTTTATTTTGATGACATTATTCGTAATTAAAAAGTATTTTAAATATGACATAGACAATTTTTCATATCATAAATTTTTATTAATTGTCAATGATTATAAATATTTTCATAAAATACATGATAAACAAAACTTTTTATTTGTTGATAGTTACTTGTCAATGCTTACAAAACTATTCTTGAAATATAAAGTAATTTTTTGAAAAAGCTTTAGTTATTGTTCTAATCAATAATTATAAAATTATTTTTAAAATATATAATAGATAATAGTTTTTAAAAAACGCAATAAGAAACAGCTATTAATAATATTAAGTTAGTAAAAGAAATTAACAATTTTAGGATTAATTTTTAATTATTTTCCTGAAAAATTAATTGTATGGAAAGAATGAGAATTTAACATTCTCACAAATTAGAAAAATCTTAACTATATTTATAAAAATATTTTTAAGAATAGTTTAATATATCCAAAAATATTTAAAATATTTGATTTGCAAAATAAAAATGAAATTCTTTAAAAATATAATTGTGAAGAGAAAAAGGTTTTTGTCGTGAAGGAACAGAGGAGCAACATCAACGCTGAAACGTCACTCACTGCACCAAACACCACAACGATCGCTCCGTCGTTACTTCACTTTCAACTTTTAATTGCTTTTTGTCATCTTTCAAATGCACCAACGCATTACGCGCCGCCAGAGAACTAAGATTATTTTTTTATATTTTCTTTTTTGCAAAATATTAATCTCAATCTTAAAATAAAAATAAACAACTAAAAAATAATAATTTTTAATTAAAAATATATTAAATATCATTTTTTATTAAAAATATTCGTCGTTCAAATTGAATCTATAAATAGCAAGATCAGTAACAATTTTGGTGGAGGAAGGGAAATCAGAGAATAGGACAAGAGAGAAACTATTACGAGGCTTCAAGAAAGGGAAAGAGAAGAAGAAAAAGCTGAAGAAGAAGAGAAGAACTCAAAAATCAAAAGTAAGATTTTCTCTCATTTTCTTTTTGATTTATGTGATTAATTATAAGATTTGATGACAACCCCCCACTAATTAAGAATATTTTTTATTTTTTTTCTTCTTTTGGTAGATTTTATGGAATTCCTTCTGGACTTTTGAGTCAAATATTGGAAATGGAGATGCATGTGAAGGATCAAAATCACATCAATTAGTAACTAAAGCTATCTGAAAAAATAATTAAAAGATATTAATAGTGACAAAATTTAGTAATAATTTCCCAAGTTTTTTGGTGTTTGACATAAAAGACTGTTTTAAATATTCTTTTTTAATTAAAAATAAATTTTTATAAAAATAATATTAATTTTAGTTAAAATATAAGATTTAATTAATTGCAATTCTTAAAAGCTGCCCACAAACAAACAAGTGGAAAGGTTTCAAACTTTCTAGCACCCCAAGATTAAAAAATCATTATTATGAAACCACCATCATATAATTTAATAGTACTATGAATGGACATGGACATGGACATGATGTCACTAATTCAAGTGCCACTATCCCTTTGGGTTTTGCACTTGTTCTTCTCACCACTACTTATATACAAATCATTCCAATGGTTTTCTTTTAAAATCAATCAACAAATGCTGTGAGCTTAACATTTAGCTTTGCCTTGTTGGTTGAAGCCAAATGTTAATGTATGTATATATAGAGTTTGGTTATTTTCATGTTGTCGTTTACTACAAGTGGAGGGAAATGCTTTTGAACACACTATATGCCAAAGGTTAATGAGTAACTTGTTCCACTCAAAGGTGGTTGACAATGAAAAAGCAAACAAATAAGAACATAGAGTGCATCAATTGGTTTGGCAAGTTATGTTGATTCTCAAAATTAATTCGAGAAATGTCAATATTATTCTTTTAATTTTACTTTTAACATATTTTTCTTATGTTTAGTACTCAATATTTTTTTCAAAAATTGAAGAAATTTTTAAATAAGTATGTTATAACAATTTTCAATTGATAATGCAATAAGTAAATTCAATTTTGGAAGATATAATTTCTTTTGCTTTCAAAATAAATTGTATTTATTTTGAACGTGAGACTATAGAATTTTCAAAAATGTTTTAGTCTTTTTAATTTATATTGTGTGTGATTTTCACAATTTTAATTTTTTTTCAAGGAACTCAAGTCCTACTATTTTTAAATCAAACCAATTTAATTCTTTTATTATTTTTCTTTCACTTAAAAGCTTTAAATAAAGATTCATTCAAATAATTAGAAACTTATGATGGATATAGAGTAGTGAAATGATTTTAAGAGTTTAAAGGTAAAATATTTATTAAATTTTGAAACATTTACTAGGATGTGAGATTAGGGGTCAAAGAGAAATGATTATTATTATTTTTATTCTGAGTGAAATTTAATGGGTGAGCTGTTTTAAGTGAAAAGTTTAAAGCAGTTAAATTAAGTCAATTCATATAGATTTTGAGTAAAAAAAATATGATAATTTAAGAGTTTAATCGGTGAAACAAAAGTGATGGAGAGACTTAAATATAACAATTAAAAGAATTAAAGGGATAATTTCATTCAAAATTTTATTGAAAACCAATTTTTTTTTTATTTACAGTAGTTTAAAAATTAATTAATTTCATCAATTCTTAAAAATATAAGTCTAATTTACTCTTCTTGCCACCATCCATGATCACAAAGTCAAACTGAGCAACAGCGTGGAGAATATTCACGAGATAAAAAGATTTGACCTCTCAACTAGGAAATTAAGTATTCATAAAGATAAATGCTAAATGGCTTGATAGAATTGGACAAGGATTTAAGTGGTGAAAGTAGTGGAAAACAAAGGAGAAGAAAGAAAAAAAGACATTGATAGATCGATGTAATGTGTTTGGTAAAAACAAAAATTAAAAACGAAAGAATGAAAAACTAAAATGAAAGTGGAGAACATATATAATAAAGTGTAGAGGTTAATATTATTCTTTTATCATTAATATGTCATAAAAATTATAAATGCGAATCTAAAAACTCACTTAATATAATATAAATGCAAAATTAAGAGCATGTTTATTGCTATTTTTAAAAAGAATTTTCTCTTTTAAAAAATAAAAAAATATACTTGTTTTTTAGGACTAATAATTTATTTAAACTAAGAAGTAACCAAAAGTTTGGCTCTCAAATTTATTTAAAAAAAACATTGTTTTTAACTTTTAAATGCGTTCTTAGTATACAAGACTAGTGTTTTTTTTCCCCCTCAGCTGGTTCTGTCTTATTCGTTAAGCTGTGATGACTCCAAGCAAATCAAAAGTTGGTGATGAGTGATTCTCTGAAATTGTCACACAGCATATTCTATATGGTTATTTGGCATGCGCATCATTATATCTTGATCATTTCTATAAGAAATTGTATTAATATAATGTATCATAAGATTCATAATATTTAAATTTATATTTTAATTTCTATTAAATGAATGTTCTACTATTTGAGACAAACCCAATGCACTTAACTAGTAATATATAGCATCAATCTTTTCAGTGAACTAATACAATTAGCTTGCATCAAGTGTAAAAAGTGTCAAACAATATTTAAACTATTTTGGAATATTACATGGCTTAAAATATATATATATAAATTGAGTGCAAGACTTGGTAACCAATATGCTTTTGTCTACTACTTTTGGGATAGTGGGTTATATATTCATGTGAATATTTCTCCTTACTCACAGTACAAGCACTTAATCACCCACTAAAGCCACCAAGGATCCCTTTAAAACACCTGAACCACAGCCTCATCTTAATTCTCATACAAGATCTGAGCATCAAGTAATGAAGATTGTTTATTACAGCATCTCTTGCATTAATTTTCCATTATAGCCAAATTTCTCTTTCTTTCTTTCTTGCTTATGGGCATGCAGGGTTTGTATATGGGATATTGAATAACACATACACACGAAGAATGCATTTGTCATCATTAAATAAAAATCATGATTTACAACCTTTAAGCTTTATTTATCTTGAATTGGTTTATATTCTTGATGACATATTGAGCTAAGCATGACACTTATGAGTGTTCATGCATGCATGTTAGTATGTGCTTGTAGTTGCCAGATTTATTTCAAACAACAGTGCATAGAAACTGTAATACATGTATAACAAAATTCAATATCATACTTTCTTTCTATTAATATGGCTTCCATTTATGTTCCACTACTTAATTATTGTATTAATTGTAGGATCATTTCATATATGATTCAACAGCAGGACTTTATTTTCTTATTTAATTTTCATTAATCTATCACTAGTTATTACGGATACTGTTAACTAAATAGAATGCAAGATAAATATGACTTTTTAATTATATATTATAAAAGTTAATGATTTTCACTGATATAATTATGATTGGATGATAATATGAAATAAATTCCACTCTAAGTGTATCTTAATTAAATTGTAATTATATTGTGTTTGTATAGCTTTATTATAAATAAAATCAAAACAATTATTTGCACTAAGTTCATTTGAAGTTTATTTTTGAAACTTGCATCAGGATTACAACTTGATTTGTAGCTGTAGAAGAAAAAGAAAATAATTAAGAAGGCACAAAATGGACTTTTGGAAGCTTTTCCTTGTTGCATTAATGCCAGTTTTGAAGGTATTGTTGATTACTGCTGTTGGGACATTCCTTGCACTTGATCGATTTGACATTCTCAGGGAGACTGCTAGGAAGAACCTAAATACTGTAAGAATCGTTTCCTATTCTTATTTTACCTCACATATATTATGTCTTAATTTATTCAAAGTTAGAAGTTTATTAATTATTATTATTATTTTTAATTATTATTAGTATTCTTTAAGCTATATCTTTAAAAGTTATTCATATGTTTTACTACTATGTTTATTTTCAATTTATTCATTTTTTATCACTTTGCTAAAGACATTCGTGTCATGTTAGGATTTTATTTGTTTATTTAAGACTACCATATTTGCGAAAAAAAATGGCACATTATTTGTTGTTTGAAACATCATCATTCAATTAAATAATTTGAAGTGAGGATTACTGTAATAAATTAATAATATCATTAGATATAACGCGAGTACATATGAAAATTAACTAGGCTTCGCCCTTCTTAAATTAACCACATTTTTAAAATCAAATTTTAAAAGAAATAAAAAAAATGGTACAAACAATAATTTCATTTTCAAAAACACTGTTCACACCCATTTGCAGACAAAGTTAAAGAATCACTTGCCTTGGCTTCTTACAAATATAATATATAATATACATAAAACATGTTTTTAACTCTTATAAAAATGATTAATTTTAATTTTAATTTTTTAAAAATAATTTTTATTATTACTTATTAATGAAGTGACATATATTTACTTATTTAGGCATAACATGTCATATATGCTACCTTAAAGATCACTGTTGTGAAATGACTAGATACATACATGTCACATTATAATAAGGACAAATTTAGAAATTTTAAAGATCAAAATTAACAAAAATAAAATAAAATATTAAAACTAAATTTAATTAAATTTAGAATACTTAAAACATATTGAACCAATAAAACATCATTATTAAACCTTTACTCAAAGCTAGAGTTTATAAAAGCAGTTTATCTTCAACATACCCCTCAAGGGTGGGGGCATGAGAGAGACAGGAAAATATTACTTGATAAGTAAATATTAATAGGACCTCTTTTTGTTCATATATATACAGATAATATATTTTGTCTTCAGTCCAACTCTAGTCTGTAGCAGCCTGGCTGAAACAATAACTTTAAGGAGTGTGATTGTATTGTAAGTTTGTTTCTTACTACTTTTGGATTTTCTCATCAAACAAAATTATTATCCATATAGTTGAATTAGCAAAGATGCTTTGACAAATTGTGTAGGTGTTTCATGCCAGTGAATATTCTTCTCACATTTGTTGTTGGGACAGTTCTTGGATTGTTACTTGTTAAAGTAACAAGAGTTCCTCATCATCTTCATGGCCTTGTGTTGGGGTGCTGTGCTGCAGGTATAGCTTCAATTATACATTTGAAATTCTCTCTTTGATTAATATCATATACATTTATTTAATTTCCATGATGATTTGGGATTTGAATGTTTATTTTTTATAGGAAACCTGGGAAATTTACCTCTTATTATAGTTCCAGCTGTTTGTAAGGAGAGAAGCAGTCCTTTTGGAGATGTCAATGTTTGCTACAGAAATGCATTGGCATATGCTTCTCTGTCAATGGCAGTATGACACCAACTTCCAACATTTGGAAATTTAAATATCCATTTCATTTGAAAAAATAATTTTTATTATTTAAATAAAAAAACTTTAAAAGAAATTTGATTATAAAAAAATATTTCTAAAAATTTAGTTCTTTATCTAGCTCATTGACATCGTGTAGCAAATCTCATCTAGTAAAAAAGAGACTTATAGTTGTTATTATTATTTTAAATAATTATAAAAATGTCACATTTTTTTACTTTTTTTAAAATATTTGTATGGAAATAGTAAAATAACACAATGCAAAGGGAAAAATACTATCTTGTTTTCATTATTTTATATAAATGTTTGAAAATAAAAAATAAAAAAAAAGTAAACACAAGATGATATTTTGGTAATTCTTTGTGAAAATAGAAAATATTTTCTCAAATAAGACTGATTCTAAATTTGTGCATCATTGAGTGTAGACATTTGTGAATTATTACCCTTTTTAAAACTATGTTTCTTGATTTTCAGTTAGGATCCATTTATATTTGGTCTTATGCGTACAACCTTGTACGCATATATGCTCGGAAGGTTTCCAATGAAGTCAAAGTTGAGGATTCCATGGTAAATATTCCAGTGGCTGCAACAAAAACTGACCCAGAAGACCTTTCAACATGTTCCACAGAATTACCAATTGTTACTGCTAATGATAGATCACAGATTGAAAATCATGTGAAGCAATTTGAAATTCAATGCACAATGCCTAATGAACAAGCAAAGGTATTGTACTTTTGTTTCAAGATAATTGGATTTTGTTAACTGTTTTTTGAATGACATGAAATTCTGACTCAATGTTCTCTTCTACCAAATAATTCCCAAATTGAATCTCTATTTGACTCCATTGTGAACTACTTTGCTTGTTAAGATGTCAATAATGTTTTATAGAAGTTATGATCTTACATTGTAAGGGTTTTACAGGTACCAAAATGGAAAATGATTATGAAGCAGCTGAAAATATTAGTAAAAAAAATCAACCCGAAACCACTTTTTGCTCCCTCCACAACTGGAGCAGTAAGTAAAACAATCTTTTATTCATTCATTTCTTTGATAGCCTTTCTATTGTTTATGTCATTCCACATGCAGGGAATAATGACGGAAATGAAGCATGCTAGTTAAAGTATAAATATTTCAATACTTAAGTTGTATAGAATTTAAATGAAATTTTTTCTAAAATATGAGCATAATATGATTTTAATTTATGAGAAAAGTTTAATTATTTCACTTCTTTATATTTGTCTATTATAAGTATTAATTAAGAAATTTATTCAAATTTAACCTGAAGATTTTTCTTGCTCAATTCTATTACGAGGACGATATAGCAATTTTGAGTCAAAAACATTTGGTAGCACATACTCATGTCTCAACCGTGTTTGATGCTTCTGAAGTGCCATATCTTAGTCTATGAATATTTGACTAGAACTAACTTAATCACTGCTCATACTTGAGTTATACTATATTGAAAACCTTGTTAATTCTTCTTAACAAAGAAGATACTTCATCTTTTCTTTCTTTTTACACAGATTGTTGGTATAATAATTGGTGTAGTCCCTCAATTTCGAAAACTATTAGTTAGTGATAGTGCTCCTCTTCGTGTGATTCAAGATTCTGTAGTCATGTTAGGGTGAGTATCTCTTCATCTACAGTATGTATTAAGTTAAAAAGTATAGATACTTTTTTTTTACTATACCGTTTTTCTTCCTGATATTTAGGGATGCAAGCATTCCAGCAGTAACTTTGTTGGTTGGAGCAAATCTTGTGAAAGGTAAATAAATAAAATGAGTTTTTCAATTTTGTCATTCATATATTGGGTTGAGTTCAATTTTAGTAGTTAAATTTTAAGATGAATTTCTCAATTTTGTAATTCATATCTTGGGTTGAGTTCAATTTAGTAGTTGAATTTGAAGATGACAAAACTAGATGCTCTGTTCAGGTTTAAAGGGACTAGCAGAGCAACTTCCACTTATTGTTGGCATTATTGTGGTTAGATGCATTGCCTTGCCAGCAATAGGTGTAGGCATAGTGAAAGGTGCTATTCACTTTGGCTTGATCCACCCTGATCCGCTATATGAGTTTCTTTTACTGCTTCAATTTGCCCTTCCTCCTGCAGTGGCTATGAGTAAGTTGTTTATCAAATTTAAATACAAGTATTTGTAGCAAAAGTAAATGGTAACATTCCAAAATGAGTTTCTTTGTTTTCTTGGTTTGAGGATTTTGTGATAGGACAGTTTCATAGGTTCTAGCATAGAGGGTCAAATACTGTTGTTTTAAAACATTTAATTGGCACCTTTTACATTCTCTTGAAGTGGCACTATATAACTGATAGTTCGAATTATCAAGTTGATTGTTATTGGTAATGATTGAATAGTTTTTTTCAGATTGAGTAAAAGGACAATAAATGATTTATTCACTTTGAAAATTTATCATGTCTTCCATCTATATATTTCTTAATTTGTCTACATATTTATCCATTTATAGTATGCAAAAATCCAACTTCATATATATCAGCATATGCTTATTCTTACAATGACCTATAATTGTTATCAAGATGTTTGTAATTTACAATATTACTGGTTTATTTCATATCCATATAAATGTCTACTTTTTGTTGCTAAAAACTCAACTATTTTTTGGAAATATACTTATTCTATAAATGTGGCAGGTACGATCACTCAATTATTTGGAGCTGGTGAGGGTGAATGCTCTGTCATCATGTTAGCAACTTATTCTTGTTCTGCAATTTCACTTACACTTTGGTGCACATTCTTTATGTGGCTTGTACTATAACTACTTTACATTGCAAGATCTTCCTTGACGCTTCAAAAATGTCTCACTGTCAAGGAAAATGCATTTTAATAAGATCTAATAAATTTATATGGAGTTTCACTAAAGTAGAAGTTATTTAAGGTAAATCATATTTAAGCAATGTTGAAAGGGAGAAAAGCATGTATGTTGCAATTAACTTGCAACTTTATTATGCTTTAATTTGTAGCAAAAAATAAAAATAAAAAAAAGAGAGAAAGAAAAAAAAATGACCTCTACTAGTCTAATGTAAGATTTTTAGGTTAAAAGCAACTCTCATTTTGCAATGGATATTTACAAAGTTTACATTTTCGAGAAAAGAAAATGATTCAATATGTGACATTGCTTTTAACATTTTAAAATTATTTGTATGATGTTTTTTTTTTTCTTAATTTTAAAGTAAAACACTCTACCACATTAGTCACGTATAGTTGCTTTGTAATATTTATTTAATTTACACTTAATATTAACTAACATATTCAATCTTTTCAATTACTTGTGTTGTGACTTTCTTGTTAAGCAATTATCCTACCGATTATGTTCTTATTAACTTAATTTATTTAAAAATTTTATATTTACAACAATCGCTTCAAAAGAATACTTTTTTTTATAGGAAAAACATATATTATTAGAGAGAGTTCAAGAGGAACTCAAAACCCATATACATAGAAAAAAAATTACTACCTTAGAGAAATAAAAAGAAAAAATATACTTATACAAAGCTAAGACGGATGCAATTTCGTGGGTTCAAATACCAATCAACTAACAAAATAGTTTTTCCCTTACTAACAAGTGATAGTCATTTTCAAGACCTCATAATAATAGAATTTATAACTTCCCTCTCATCCAAAACACCATTGAAAAATACAGTTCTATTTCTATGTAACCACAAAGATCACATTGTACTTACCCAAACAATTAATAAGCATATCCCTTCTCTTTTACTACAGTCAATACCAACCTAAGAAAACAAGTGAGCCGATATATCTAAAGGCAAGACTAGTGAGAATCCAAGCCAACACGCAGTAAAGTACTAGATTTGAGATGAAACTGAACACATTGAAAATAAATGAGTTGGAAGTTCTTCTAAACCATGACAAAAGCAACAAGTTATATCATCAATTTGAACACCTCGATCAATCAGCAAACCTTTACAATGAAGTGCATTCAACAACAATTGCCAAAAAAATACCAGACACTTCAGAGGGATCTTTCCTTTCCATAGCCTTTGCAAGGCATCTACCGTACACTAATTTACACTATTAGGACCACCAAAAAGTTCAAATAGTCATGAATACGCAGATTGTACTGAATAACAACCTGAAGAATATGTCCTCCATACCCATTTATCTTCTTGTAGTAACTTAATAGAAACTCCATCCACAAGCTCTAATAAAAGATTAAAGCTTGAGATCTCATGTTGAAAGAGTCATCTTCGCCAACTAACATTCCAAACTCACCTAGTGTCATCATGAAAATCATTCTCCAATACACATGATTCAGCATTCCTCGCCACCGCAAACAATCGCAGAAATGCCTCACACAAGCGCACCTCACCTACCCACTTATCTCTCCAAAAAAGTGTGTGTAAACCTGCACTCACACTCTTATCAAACTTCTCATCCAGTCAAGAATTTCCTTGATGAATAACCTCCATCAAATCATGCCACCACAAAGAACATCTATTGTGGACTGATGGATGCTGAATAGAAGAAGCTAGTCTTCCATACTTAGATTCTAACACCCGCACCCACAATAAACTAGAACAATTAACACCTCGCTACAACCATTTACCAAGAAGTGCCTAGTTAAACCACTGCACATTCTTAATGCCCAAGCCACAATTCTTCCGCGGTCTACATACCGTTTTCCATTTCACCAAGGAGATTTTAGATCCATCCTTAATACCATTCCATAAAAAATTTCATTGGATAGTGATAATCTCCTTTATCACTGACTTCGACACCTTAAAAAAGAATAACAAGTGCAATGACATAGAATTAAGAACTGCATTAATCAAAGTCACCCTGCTTCCAATCGATAAATACCTATGCTTGCATGACGCTAACTTCTTTTTAAAAGCATCTAACACACCCTAACTACACTATGCTTCAGAAGAATACTAAATCAAACAAATAATAAAATAGTAAACTAAGTATGATTTGGTGAGGAATGAATCTGACATATATGTATTAGTTTATTGTACCAAATTAATTGAATACAATATGGATTAAGGAGGCTTTTAATCAAAATTAAATTATTCAAGTAATTTGAAGGAAATTTTAACTCTTAAATATATTGCATTTAGATACACATTATGGAAGCTGGATACTCACATTTGAAATTGCATTTAGTGTCTCATGTTAAAAATTACAGTACCAAACATGCATTTGTATTTCTCTATCTAACATTTAATTGGTAGAGAAGCATCTGTAACATAATTGAGACATAATCTCTTGAAAATTACTTTATAGATGCTATTTTCTAATTGGAAAAAAATATCTCAATGCATTATTCATTAGCTTTTAAAACTTTTTGCATTCATGAAAAGTTGTTTAAAGATTGAGCTGTGTATTTCTCATTAGCTAAATCAAATAAAATTTTCAGAAAAGTTGAGCTGTGAAAAATTACAAGGCTGAATGCATACAGATAAAATTAAAATGAAATAGGAACAGTGTCAACAACTTTTCGTGGCATGCAAAAACGTTAAAAAGCTATGGTTTAATACTCTGAGAGAAGAAGAGCCGTGAAGATTGTAAAATAGAATAAATAATGGGACCAGGTGAAGTAATTAAAATAATATTTCATTTTTATTTTTTATGTGTACAATCTATCTGTTTATAACACGAAGTTCTATATGTATAACATATGTTTTAACTTTTATTAGATGCAATTTTTTTAACAATGATAATCATAGATCACAGGTGAGAATTAGTATTTAATTTTTTAAATTTAAAACTGTTTTGTAGTTTCTGACCTCGGATACACAATAAATAAATAAATAAAAATTTACCAAATTCTAAAATTTTTATATGAAAGTTATGAATTTGTTATGATGTTTAAACATTTTGCACATATGTCATGTAATATTAAATGTTTTATATCAAAGATAACAAAATTATAAATTTTTTTATTTATTTCGAAAATGTTGGAGAAAAACGTACTTAAATGTACACATAATAGTTTTGTTCCTTTTTCGGGTAAATAAAAATCAGAATTGGAGTAAAAACAAATCAATTTTTTAGTTCTTGAAAATAAAATTTTCTGTTGAAGTTTTTAAAAATACAATTCATCGTCTAGATAAACAAAAAATAAATAAATAAATTCATCACTCAAATAATTAATTAGCTGTTTTTTTTTATTTAATTAATGATGCAAGACTACAACATATATTTTATAAATATTATTTTTTAGAATAGACCCCAGATAATTTTGTTCGAGCTGAATATCATTATTGTGGATGTTAAATTTTTTTAAAATATTTAAAATAACTGCATTCACTAATATTCAAATTTGAAATTATAAATTAAGTTAAAATAATATCTTACCAAGTAATTTATATGCTTGATAATTTCATAAAGACTATTTACCACTGAAAAGAATATCCACATGTTATTAATTAATTTGAGAATTTGATAGTAAAAATATAATAAATTTGAAACAAGTTGTGTCCCTTTTTAATTAAAACAAATAAAACTTAACAAATGGACTATCCAATTGGCCGCCAGCAAAAGGAATCATAATGAGCAGCTTCTTGTTTAATCTAAAAGAGAAAATTCAGAACAAAATTATCATTTGATTTGGAACTTGTTTCACATATGAAGATTAGAACTTGATTTGGAATTGTAAAAGAGGGAGAGAAAAAAGAAAAGGACACAAAATAATGGATTTCTTGAAGCTTTTTGTTGTTGCATTAATGCCAGTTCTGAAGGTGCTGTTGATCACTGCTTTTGGGACATTCCTTACACTAAAACGCTTCAACATACTCGGAGACATTGCTAGCAAAAACATGAATACTGTAAGTTTCTTCTCCAAACACACTCCTTTTCAACCCAAATACTATATAATCTTTCAATTTTTGTTTTGCTTATTAAAATGAATAAAAAGTGAAGTCATTTAAAAGAATGATAAAATCGTGTCACATGTATTATTTCTGATTTTATCTTCGGTTAAGGGAAAGTAGTGTTTTAAAATTGTTTTTCATTGTATTATTTTCTATTAATAGCATAAAGGACTTATTATTAAAATTAGATAATTTATGATAAATTTATAAAAATATAAATAACTCGAATAAATGTTATAAAATAATACGTAGATCACCTTGTTTTATTAAAAATATAAAATTTCTAACGTTTCATTACTTTTCTTTTTACTTTTACAGATGATATTTTTTGTCTTTGCTCCAGCTCTTGTTTGTAGCAGCCTGGCTAAAACCATAACTTTAAGGAGCGTGATAGTATTGTAAGTTTTTTTTTTTTTTCATCTATTTATAAGAATTTGATCATAGGGTTTGAAAGAGAGTAATGTTATGTTTGAGTGATTTATTATTTAATAAAATCAATGTTTTTCATGAACTGTGTGCATGCAGGTGGTTCATGCCTGTGAATATTCTTCTCTCAGTTATTATTGGCACAGCTCTTGGATGGTTACTTGTTAAAATAACAAGAGTTTCTCACCATCTTCAAGGCCTGGTGTTGGGGTGTTGTTCTGTTGGTAGGGTAACTCACTAATATTTTGAATTTTCTCTTTATGGATATGATGAATATTTATCAGCAGATAAAAAAAGAATCTCACTTGAGGATTTGATCATTTGGGGTTTAATGTGAACAGGAAATTTGGGAAATTTTCCTCTTATTATAGTTCCAGCAATTTGTGAAGAAAGAAGTAATCCTTTTGGAGATATGAATGTTTGCCACACAAATGGACTAGCTTATGCTTCTCTCTCATTGGCAGTATGATGATTACACTTGAAATGTTTTGGAATTTCAGTATGAGAAACGGAGTAACATCTTTTTCTTTTTCTTAAATATGATTTTAAACCCTATATTTTTGTGAGATTTTGATTGTAATCTTTTTAAAACTTCTCATTTAGTTTTAGTTTCTAATATTTCTAAATTCCACATTTTTAAAATCTAATAATAACATATAATACAGTAAAAAAAATTCACACATGACATCTTTGTTAATTTCATCATCTCTGGAGATCAAAAGTGTTGAACTTAAACTAATAAAAACTAAAAAAAAAATTATTTAAAACCTCAAATGCATGTAAAATCTAGAACCAGTTAATTCTTTTTTTAATATATTATTTAAGCAAAATTATTATTTTCATTCTTTAACTTTAAGGTAAATTTTGAAATTATCTTTTAACTTTTTTTTTATTCATTTTAATCCTCTAACTTCTAAAAAAATTTTAAATTGGTCCTTTTTCATTAAAGACCCTAACTCTATTAAAAAAATTTGTCGTTTTGTATTACATGTACTATATATTATTATTCATTTTCTTCTTCCTTAAATTTCCGGTCTCTAACAAAGCTCTTCTTCCTCCTCCCTTTCATTTTCATTTTCTTATATTTAAATAACTAATTTTTTAAATTGAGATATCCTTCCAAAAATCCAGCTACCCATCCTGAGAAAAGATCACTAACTGAAGTCCATCCAAGCTCTAATATCATCATATTCGTCAAACAAGACAAACTCTGCAAGCCATAATGAAATACTCCATCTCTTAAATCATAACTTAAGAACAAATGCTTTAGTTGAGAAAAACAAACAGAAATTGTCTTTATATCAACGACCTCATCCTCATCATAAAAAACCTTTTGGTCATATAATAATGACGTTAGAAACATCTACAATCTCAAGGTTTTATGTGCTATCCCCAATGTCAAGATAGATGACATTCACATCATCAATCTTTAACACTTTCAACGTTCCCTTCCCAACCAATTCAAAACCTTAAAAGGTACAATCTTTTAAATGAAACTTCTCAAGTAAGTCTGCCTCTAATAAAAATTTATCTAAACTAAATGATTCGATGAAGAAATCCTTCAAAGAAAAACTACTAAGCTCCACAGAAGCCTGCGAATCCAACATTAAGATTTTGGTAGCAACCACGGCCAAGGTCTCAAGTCTTGGACACCTATAGAGCAAAAGACTCAAATCTAATGCTGAGATGCTAACAAAACTTAATGAAAGTGACTTCAAACAAGGAAATTTCAAATTATTGAAGAAGAAAAGGTGCCAAAAATAAAATTAAAAATTTAAGAAGGAAGACCATAAACAGTAATATGTGGTATAAAATAATAAATTTTTTTAATGGATTCAGGGTCCTTAATGAAAAAAGATAAATTTAAAAATATTTTAAAAGTTAAAGAACTAAAATGAAAAAAAAAAGTTAGAAGACAAAATTAAATTTTCTTCTAAAATTAAAGGATGAAAAAAGTAATTTTATCTATTATTTAATATTATTTTATAAAAGTCATCTTAGATGCATTAAATATTAAGATATGTAACTCCCATAATTTTAGGAGGCACATATGATGTTTTTCAGTAAGGAAAATATATTTGAAAGAGTAAAATGATGAAATTATTACATATAATTAGCATTGAGACTTCTGAATTATATTTGAGTGTCTTCATGATATATCTACCCTTTCAGGTAGGAGCCATTGTAGTGTGGTGTTTTGGCTACAACTTTTTCCGCATATATTCTCAGAATAATTCCAATGTCGTCAAAGTTGATGAATCCACAATAAATTCAGCGTCTGCAACACAAATTGATGCAGAAAACCATGGATCTGTTGCTGCTGATGAGGATGAATCACAAACCAAAAATCGTGCCAATCAACTTGAAATCGAACTTACTGTGCCAGATGGACAAGCAAAGGTAGGTGATACATGTTTCAGCGGTCTAAGGATACTTGTTTAAAAAAATAATAACATTGAAGAATATATATAATATGAAATTAATCAATTTAATCACTATTTGAAGGCTTTTGCGTCAGCATTACCTGTATGCAAATTGTTTTTCAATCTGATAAAAATAAAAGTTATCTTACGGTTTTTAGTGTTTTCCAGATACAAAAAGGGAAAAAGTACGTGTATATGAAACACTTCAAAATATTATTTCCACCTACATCGATTGGAACGGTATGTTATTAATTTTTATTTTTTTTACTATAAAAAAATATCTTCTTACATCAATGTAAGTCTAAAAGCTCTTATACTAAATCTGAGTCTTTCATTTAACTTAAATCTAATGACAAATAAAATACTCGTTAAATTTAAGTTAAATGAAAAGTTCAGATTAAGTACAAGAGTTTTTAAACTTACACAAGTATAAAAAAATCATATTTTTATATAAAATGATTGGTCAAACTAAACATGAATTTAAAGTCACACCACACCACTTACAACCTTGATATCTAAACTCTGTACTAAGATGCTTTTAAAGTATAGGGAAACTTCAGCAATTAATTTAAGTCCAAAGCCTACCAGAGGCATTGTAACTTGGTTATGTTTGACCAGAACTAGCTTATATAGTCGTATATGACTAACAAAAAAAAAGAGTGATAGGCAGGGAAGAAAGAATAATTTTTTATTCAAGAGAAATGTTAGCAACATTCTTTCTATCTTAATTGTTAATTTTTTTTTATTAAAACCTACCAAAATCAAGTAAGTTTCACTCTTTTTTAGTCTTAAATTAGTGTTTCTCTATAATACGTTTAGTAAATTTTAGTCTATAATTAAAAATGTGGTAAAAAGAATGGCTGCCAACATTTTTTTTTATCCAAACATTAATTTAATTTGTCTATTTGTCAAGGTTACTCTATATAGTTCTTCATATCAATGATATATTTCCTCTTTTGATTTATATATGTAGATTGTTGGTATAATAATTGGCATTGTTCCTCAATTTCGAAAACTATTAATTGGTAAAAGCGCTCCTCTCCATGTGGTTCAAGACTGTCTTATTATGTTGGGGTAAGTATTCTCTTACTCCCACTACCACATTTTGAGAATGATGATGATGATAATAATAAAAGGTACTCATATTTTCTTTTGTTTGCAGGGATGTTACCATTCCCACTATGACTATGTTAATTGGGGCAAATCTTCTCAAAGGTATATCCATATAACATAAAGCTTTTTAACTTTGACTTTCATTTGATGGTTAATTTCAATTTAAGTTGCATTAGAAAATCAATGTGATGATAGAATTTGGGTGCATTATAGGTTTAAAAGGACAAGGAGTGAAGGCTTCACTTGTTGTTGGCATTATTGTGGTTAGATATATAGCCTTGCCAGCAATAGGTATAGGCATTGTTAAAAGTGCTGCTCATTTCGGCTTAATCCATCATGATCCATTATATCAGTTTATTTTACTACTTCAATTTACCCTTCCACCTGCAGTATCCATAAGTAAGTTCTTTTTTAAACTTAAAAATGTGTTTGTTGATTCTTGCTGTATCTATCACACTAATTATGTGTAGAAATTGTTTTTAGTGAATTTTGACCTCTTTATTTAATGAGTGTCAGGTACATTTTCTCAATTATTTGAAGTTGGGGAGGGTGAATGCTCAGTTATCATGCTAGCAACTTATTCCTGTGCTGTAGTTTCGCTTACTCTTTGGTGCACATTCTTTATGTGGCTTGTTCAGTAATTATGTTCTATTTCAATATGTTTTCAAGCAGTTTGCATCTTAAGAGTCAAATATCTACTTGTATTATAGCTACATCAGGACTCGTACAATGAACATAAAGATTTGGCCATTTAAAAATAAAAAATAAAAAAGTGGACAGAAAAAATATTGTAAAACAAAGGTAAATTAAGTAAGAGAAGAGGAGTGATGTATAGCTTTATTTAAACAAGTAAACTTTACAATTATACCAATTATTTTATTGAGCATATTTAGTATTATTTCTGCGAGAATTGTGGCAAAATTGCCGATGTATCTTTCTTGAACTTCTATTTGAGCATTCTAAACACCAAAGTGACATGTCGTGCACAATGAAAATTAGAAAATATAGAAATATATTTTTGAGTTTATAAACATCTGCACACAAAATTAAACAACACAAAAAATACGATGAACAAAAGCTATCAGTATTGAAATTTCTTTTATTTGTCTCGTATTAAAAATTATCTTATCTAACTTCAAAATATGCAATGGATGTTAAAATCTCTGATTCTGAGTCAGCTCAAATTCCTTAGATAAAATAAAAATTCTTATGTTATCAGCCAAAACTCCTTATTTATTTAGACAAATTTGACTAATACATTCATTAATGTTCAAAAACTCGAAATAATCTTACAATGATTCCTCAACACACAATGACTGTAGTGAATTACTCAAATCTAACTTAACAATCATCATTATGTAAGAATTTGTTCACAGTAAAATATGAAAATACATACTGAAAAATAATTAGGTCTAATAAAAGGGAGTGTCTCACAAAATAATACAATTTGAATTTCAATTAAAAAAATATTATTTAATACTCAATTGTATTTTGAATATATTGCACACACATCACCGTGGATTAATTGGTAAAGAATTGTTCTAACTTGCCATGTAGATTAGATATTAAGTTTAACTGTGTCACTTTTTTATGACCATAATGAATGTGAATTAAATAAATTTATTAATAATAAACATAATTTATTTTACTATAGTTATTATAAAAAGTTTTAATTTTTATAAAACCCCATTTAAAGTAATTCGATATTTTCGTATGTTGAAAATTGCAAAGGACGCTGCTTAACTCACTGGTTAATTAAAAATCATAATTAATTTCCCTTTCATTGTGATGAACAGTATAGTCCAAATTCAAAGCACAATTAATTGTTGAAGTGGAAAAATAATTGAGAAACCTTTTCCTCAGGAATTTTTTCAAGGTTATGTTCATTGAACATATCAGTGGAATCAGCAGATATCAGATTTCCATCTTGATCCCTACAAGCCATATATTGAATCTGCCACTCAAGCAATTAGAAACTTGTGATGATCAGTTTGTTTTCCCCCTCAATTTTTCAAGCAGAAACAAATGAAATTACCTCTCCAAGAATAATCCCCTGGTTTATCACACATTGTAAGGGCTCTTTGGTGGACACAACACCAATGTCAAAGGGGACCTGAAATAGAAAACTCAAATTAAATCTGCACAAATAATGCAGCACTGATGTATTTGATGAATTTAAAATAATGCCTTCACCTGGAAAAGCCTTGAGCATACATAAACGTTGATTAAAGAGGAAAACACTGAAAAAATTTTCACATTACTTTAAAATTTCTTGTAATAATTTACTGCTGTATCAGTTAACATGTTCTAAATTTAATAGCCAGGATTTGTTTTCTTTATTGTTGCCTCATACAGTCCCTAATTCCACCGCCAAAGTACAGAGACGCGAAGAGCCTAGAAAGAGAAGCTACAGCCGTCTAATCTAAATCACATACCAAGTGTCAGCATTAGGAAGTTGATCAAAATCCAAAAGAATGTCAAGTCACAATACACTATCTAACACAATCAAACATGCATCAATTCTTCTCCCAGCGTCATAGATGCATCGAAGGGTACAGCTCATGGAGATTATAACCTAGATAGTGTAAAGTTTAACAGGGCACAAGCTACTTCTAACAAAGAGGATCAAACGAATGCGCATAGTGTTTCCATACAAAAATTTATTTCTGAATAAGTAAAACTAACAATTAGACAAAGAAAAACCATGATTAAATAGGAAAATCTATTCCAAAACCTTTCAAGTACCAAAAACAAAAAAAATCAAGAAGGTCGACCCATCACTCGTTTAGGCTTCTTTACAAAACTCAACCGAATCTGTTTGAGGCGTCTTCTCTTCCTAGCCATTTTCTCAGGCAAGGTTTCCCTCTTCTTCTCACCCTTAACAACCTTGGCCTTCTTCTTTAAATACCTTGGATCAACAGCATACTCTTTAAGCTCCACAGGCAATCCTCTATTCCGGGCTTCATTGAACAAAGCATTAGCTTTATCAACACGATTATGTGCACCCAATTTCCCCATCAACAAATCATAAGTTATAACCCCAGGCTCACACCCATCACCCTTCATCATCCCAAACACCCTTAAAGCATGATCAACCCTCTCAATTCCACACAAAATCTTCAGAAACTGATAATAAGCCTTTTTGTCAAGAAACCTACCATAGCCAGCAGATTTCATTCTATCGATCATTTCATCCCCTTCTTCCAACCTAGCAGCCTGGTACAAACTCTTAATCAAAACAATAAAAGTAGTCTCATTAGGGTAACACCCCCATTCCGCCATTCTATGAAACAGCCCCAAAGCATCCTCAGTCTTCCTAATCTTACAAAAATTCATTATCAAAACGTTAAATGTCTCCACATTCCTTGGAACCCCACGATAATCCATCTCCACAAGCACCTTCTCCACCTCCGAATGAACCAGAAACGGATTCTTCTCACGACAAAGCTTAAACGCGCAATCAAGCATTGAGTTGTAAGCCCCAACCCCAAGCTCGAACCCTCCTCGATACATCTCCCCAGCGAGTCTTCGAGCTTCGTCGAGCTTCCCATTCACGCACCAACCGTTGATCAACAAATCACAAGTGGGTTCGTCCGGGAAAAACTCCTTCGCCAGATCCTTCACCATCTTCTCCGCGTGACTCGCGAAACCTTTAGAACATAGCTTCTCGACAACCACCCTTTGTGAACCGCGATCGCGCTTCAACCCGTAATCCCTCTCCATCCTCTCAAAGAACTGAATCGCCTGGTTGGGCCGGCCCGCGCGGACAAGCCGGTCGATCCCCGCGGCTAGGGTTTTGGGGCCGGCACCGCCGCCAGCAAGGACTTCGTGCGTTGCCTTGAAGTCCTTCCGGCGGCCGAAGTAGTCGACGAAGTAGGATAGGGTGTCGTCGGTGTGGGAAAATTTGGGGTTGGAAGCGAGCCATTGGTGGAACCCTAGTACGGTGCGGCCAGCTTCAGAGGAGAAGTTTAGGGTTTGGAGAATCAAATCAGGGGTTGGGGTGATATGGGAGAAGCTGAGATGGAGGCGCTGCGAAATTGAGAGAGGATCCGAATTGGGGTCTTTGAGAAGTTCGGAGCAGAGCGATTGAGCAATTGGATGAGGGTGTTCTGGGTGGTTCTGGGTTTGGGTTGGGGTCGGGGGTTCCAACGAGAAATGTCTGGCTGTGAAGCGTGAAGAGGGAATGAAGAGGGTTGGGGATTGGGAGTGGGATGAGAGAGTGGAAGAGGGTTGTTGAGGAAACGAGTGAGAGGAGGAGAGGAATGACAAGGAACGACGTCTGAAAGATCGGAATATGAGCTTCCCACGTTGCAGAGACACTAATGGCAGCATCTCTAGAGTTTCAGGTAAGAAGAAGAAGAAGAAGAAGAAGAAGAAGCAAGGGATCCAATATGTACTAAGAAGTTGCAGAAACCTAAACCAGAAACCTAAGGTTTCTATCCTGTTAACGTTTCAGCAAGTAAGTGTGTTATGAATGTATTTTGAATTTAATTATTAATTAAAAATTATAATTAAATTATGAGTGAAATAAATAAAATACATATATTTTTATAAATTTAAATAATAATTTAATAAATGACTAAGAATATATCAAGAAAAAATATATTCCAGAGTATAAAGTTAACATTTCTCATTTTATATATAATTTACATTGAATTTTATAAATTTTAACTTTATTTTAATTTTGTTAAATATAATTCAGTCTGAAATTTCATTTATTCTGGGAGAGGTAATTTCATTTATTTCTGCTTGAAAAATTGAGGGGGGAAACAAAGTGATCATCACAAGATGGAAATCTGATATCTGCTGATTATTTCTGAGTATGGTGCAGATTCTATTTGATTATATGAAATGTTCATGGCTCTTCTTCTCTGAGAGCATTATTTAATCTATAGCCTTTTTAACATTTTTGCATGCCACGAAAAGCTGTTGACACTGTTCCTATTTAATTTTTATTTTGTCAGTATGCATTCAGCGTTGTAATTTTTCATAGCTCAACTTTTCTGAAAATTTTATTTGATTTAGCTAATAAGAAATACACAGCTCAATATTTAAACAACTTTTCATGAATGCAAAAAGTTTTAAAAGCTAACGAATAATGCATTGAGATATTTTATAGTATAAAGGAAAAAAAAATATGTTGAAGAAGCTTTCATTTAATTAGAAAGTAACATCTATAAAGTAATTTTCAAGAGATTACATCTCAATTATGTTATAGATGTTTCTCTACCAATTAAATGTGAGACAGAGAAATACAAATGCATGTTTGGTACAGTAATTTTTAACATGAGATACTAAATGCAATTTCAAATGTGAGTATCCAGCTTACATAATGCATATCTAAATGCAATACATCTGAGAGTTAAAATTTCCTTGAAATTACATGAATAATTTAATTTTGATTAAAAGCCCCCTTAATCCATATTCCATTCAATTAATTTGCTATAATGAAATAATACATATATGTCAAATTCATTCCTCACAAAAGCATACTTAATTTACTATTTTATTACTTGCTTAACTTAGTATTCTTCTCAAGCAATTATTGTAAATATAAAAATTTTATAAAAATTAGCTTAACAAGAATACAATAAGTGAGACAATTACTCAACAAAAGAGTCTCAACACAAGCAATTAAAAAGATTGAATATGGTAGTTACTATTGAGTGTAAATTAAATAAACATTACAAAGTAATTATATGTGGTTAACGTGGTAGAGCATTTTACTTTAAAATTTAAAGAAAAAACTTCATATAAATAAATTTGAGATATTAGAAACAATGTTACATATTGAATTATTTTCTTTTCCTAAATATGTGAACCTTGTCAATACCTATTACCAAATGAGAGTTGTTTTTTACTTGAAAAGCTTACAATAGACTATTAGAGGTCTTATTTTCTTTCTCTCTCTCTTTTGCTACAAATTAAAACATAATAAAGTTGTAACTTAATTGCAACATATATGCTTTTCTCTCTTTACACATTACTTAAATATGATTTACCTTAAACAACTTGTACTTTAGTGAACCTCCATATAGATTTAGATCTTGTTAAAATGTATTTTCCTTGACATTGAGACATATTATATGGTCTTGCTACATCCAAAATGAAACAAGTAAAGAATCATTTCACATGCTTAAAATTAAGAAGATAATTATTTTTATGTGTGGTTTAAATATTATATATATATATATATATATATATATATGCATGACTTTCATTTGTCTACAACAATAACAGGGACAACAACAATTAAACACAATAAAAGGAGAGCTAAATTTAACAATTGTTTGTAAACTAAGTTGATTGTTATTTTTCAATTTTATGTGTTATTATTTCATTTTCCTAACAAATTGTATTAAAGCAGTGTTGAGATATCAATAAAAATCACATTACCTGAGTGAGAGACCGATCACATTAGTTACCACATAAGCATAAAACCATCAACATGTTATTGCATGTGTCATCCAATTAGTTTGTTAACTCCTTAATTTATTTATTTATTTCTTAAAATATAAATTATGCTTGTCCCATTTTTGTTAAATTTAGCTCTATTTTTTTCCTCGCAACTAAGAATGGACGATTTATTAGGTGCTATGATTAGACTCACCGCTAACAACTATACACTTTTGAAACCAAGGATGGAAGATCTCCTCAATTGCAAAGACTACTATGATCCTATAGAGTATGAAGTTAAGAACTTCAATCATGCTAAAGATGAAGAGTGAAAAAAGATGAATAGAAAATAACTGACTCGATTCGATAATGGATTGATCATAGGGTCTTTCATCATGTGTCTTAGGAAACTAATGCTTATACTTTTTAGAAGAAGCTAGAGGATATGCATTAGTCTAAGGTAACATGAAATAGAGCCCTCTTGATCGAAAAGTTGGTGAATATAAAGTTGCTAAGTTGAACTTTGGTAGAATAACACACTAGTAATATCTAGTAAACTAAATATCTATAGTGGAGCTAAATCTTGATGATAAAGTACAAACTCTCTTACTTCTTAGTTCTCTTCCTGATAATTGGGAGACTTTAGTTGTCACCTTCAACAATTCAACTTCTGATGGAAAACTCACTACATCTACGGTGAAAGGTGTTTTGTTCAATGAGGAAGCCAGACACAAGGACACTAACATGAACAACGAGGAAGCTTTTATCATAGAAGGTAGGGAGAGACAACTAAAGGAAAATCAAAGTAGATGGCGAGGTAGGAGAAAAAGTAAGGGTAAGCCAACAGATAAAAGGGGCAGTTAGTAGAAAGGTGAAAACTGAGGTGTTACCATGTGAGATGAAAAGTTATTTTAAGAGAGACCGTAAAAGGTTACAAAGGGAGCAAGAATTAGAGAGCACCCTAGCAAAGAAGGATAGAAATATACAAGTCACAATCATTGAAGAGGTAATTGCATATGATGTTCAAGGAAGCTATGCATTGCAAAGTCGAGTGGAGAATTTGAATGGACAATTCATACTCCAACTTCTTGTCATGCCACTCTTCGAAGAGACATTTTCACAACATACAAAGCCGGTGATTTTGGCACCGTGAAGATGGAGAATACCAGTGTTGCTAAAATTGTGAGTATTAACGGTGTTCAAATAGTAATAGACATTAGGGTAGAGTTACTTTGAAGGATGTTCAAAATGTGTAAGATCTTCGATTGCATTTACTTTTAGTAAGAACTATTGATCAATGGGGTTTTAAAAACTACTTATGTGATAGCACATGAAAAATGTTGAAAGGATTTATGGTAGGAAATCTACATCAAGATACATATACGTCTTTGCAGGAGGAGTTGTGTCTTGGCAATCAAGGTTGCAGAAGTGTTTTGCTTTATCCACAACAAAGACAGAGTATATAGTAGCAGCTAAAGGATCTTTTACCTGTGTTCAAAATTCCCTTACCAAGCTACATGAAATAGATTCTTGAAAGTCCACATAAAAATTATTACTAATTATCCAAAATAGGAAGATAAAATGTTATGATAAATACGTTCTTTAGTAATATCATCATTACTCTCAATGTCAAGTGCATTAACAATACTAAATCAAATACAATGAGTAGTGGCAAGCCCGGTCCTTAGGGTAATCTAGGAGTATAATCACCCAGGGCTCAGGCTTGAAAGAGGTCCAAAGTAAAAATTATGTTATACTTTCATGTGCAAAAAAAAAAAATTAGCTCTTAATTGCAGTTTGCAATTGGAAAAAAAATAGAAAAACAAAGAAGATCATTCAATTCATCACACCTCACTTGCCATAAACATAGTCAATTCTTTGACTTCTTTAATAGTCCCTATGCAATTCTGCATTTTGCCAAAATCCAAAATTGCCATTGTTGCAGGTATTTTTTTTTTCCTCCTCATTTTTCTTTCTTGTAAGCTTTTTAATCTTAATTTAATTAATGACATGTATCTATGAGTTTTAATAAAGTAGCCTTATATTAGTTATTTCTCATTCTCTAATTCCTTTTTTTATGAATTATATTATATAGTATACTCTACAATTTGTGGTTATGTCTTCTTTTATGAAATATAGTATATAGTATACGAGTTTGCAAGTCTGCAATTTGCAGTTATGCCTTTTTTTTTTTTTTATGAATTATAGTATATAGTGTATGAGTTTGAGATCTTAGTTAGCACATTATGGCATTTTCATGATAAAAAAAATTCCAATCCTACAAATGATTGTTTATGAAACTACTATCGAGATTCTTTGGACCATATTTCCTAGTATCATACTGACGTTTATTGCTATACTATCATTTGCTCTCTTATACTTAATGGACAAGGTAGTAGTAGATCAAGTATGCGATTTCATTGAATTCCCTATTCCCTGATTGATTATTATAATTATATTTTTAGATTTCTAATGACTGGATTATACTTTTGGAATTAGCAAATGTGAAAGCAACCATTCAACTTGTATTCTACTACCATGTGCTATTTTTTTTTCCTTGTATTATGATTGTATTGTTTGATTTATCTTTTATATGCAATGTTGCCTAAAAAGCATTTATCTGAAAGTGAAAAAAGAAAAAAAAAATGTGTTGAAGAGTTAAAAAAAATCACAGCAAAGTGCTATTGACAAATTTGTTTTTAGAAATGTAGTTTCTCATAAAAATTTGGATTAATCAAATGAAAGTTTGCAAAATGAAGTCAATGAAAATGATAAAATTAATAATCCAAATGAGTCTAATGATATGCCAAATGTATCCAATATTGAAAATCTTGCTCCTCATGAAGAATAAACAATTTCTATTGGTATTGGTATTAATAATAATGGTATTGATGAAGAACAAACAATTCCTTCTTTGGATATTTATGATCCTAGAAATTGGGCTAATCTTGATAACAAACTAAGGGACATTTTAGTTGAAAAGGGGCTTATAAAAAATTTGAATCTTGACTTTCCTCTTGATAATAGTAATAGGCATTTTTCATATGCTTAGTTTTCTAGGAAGTTGAGCAATGGTGAGATTAACGATAGAAAATGGTTGATTTATTCTAAACATGTTGACAAAGTTTTTTTTATTTTTGTTGCAAGTTGTTTAAATCTATTAGTAATAAAAGCTTGTTAACAAATGAAGGGTTACGTGATTAGAGGCATATTAGTTAGAGGCTCAAACACCATGAAAATAGTAGTGAGCATATGACTAATATGAATACTTAGAATGAAATGAGAGTAAGGTATGAAATGAGAGTAAGGTTGAATAAAAATGAAACAATTGATAAAAGCTTGCTAGAAGCAATTATGAAAGAGAAAGAGCAATGGAGGCAAGTGTTACTTTGAATATTTTCAGCTATGAAATGTGTTGCTACTCATAATTTGGCTTTTCAAGGATCCAATGAAAAATTCTATCAAGATAGTAATGGTAATTTCTTAGGATTAATTGAAATGATTGCATAATTTGATGTGATAATGCAAGATCATGTTAGACTCATTCAAAATCGTGAAATTCATTATCATTATCTTGGGCATAAAATTCAAAATGAATTGATTTCCTTTTTGGCCAATAATGTTAAAATTTCTATAATTAAGACCACCAAAGAGGCAAAATATTTTTCATAATTCTTTATTGTACCCATGATATTGCTCATCAAGAGCAAATGACTCTAATAATACAATGTGTGAATATGTCAACTAATAAAATAAAAACTGAGGAGTACTTTTTAAAGTTCTTGAAGGTGGATGATACATCAGGATTAAGACTTTTTAATGAATTACAAAATATTCTAAAGTCTTTGGATCTTAATGTTAATGATGTAAGGGGTCAAGGTTATGATAATGGTTCCAATATGAAAAGGAAGCACCAAGGTGTACAAAAGCGATTACTTGAAATAAACTCGAGAGCATTATATATGCCTTGTGCCTTTCATAGTCTAAATCTTACTCTTAGCTATATGGCACATTCTTGCAACAAAGCTATTTCATTTTTTAGAATTATTCAACGCATATATTCATTATTTTCAAGTTCTATAAAAAGATGAAAAATTTTACTTGACAATGTCCCTGAATTAACTGTGAAATGTTTATCTAACATTTGTTGAGAGAGTTGAATTAAAAGTGTTAAAACTATTAGATTTCAAACTTTTCAATTAAGATTGGCTTTGTCAGAACTGTATGAATCTTGTGAAGATGCAAAGTCAAAGAGTGAAGTAAAAGTTTGTATAATGCACTTGGGAGTTTTGAGTTTTTGCTTGGTATGGTTATTTGGTATGAAATTTTATTTACTAAAAATATAGTGAGCAAGAAATTGCAATCTAAATCTATGTGCATTTAAACCACCATAAAACAATTAGAAGATATATTGTCATACTTTGAAAAGTATAGAGATCAAGGCTTTACTTCTAGTATAAATATTGCTAAAAGTATTGCACTTGGTATGAATGTAGAGACTACCCTTCTGACAAAGTGTCGTGTTATTAGGAAAAAACAATTTGATAAAAATAACCAAGAGGATGAAGAGATTCAATTGGCTGAAGAATTATTTAGAGTTGAATATTTTTGTTGTTGTTATAGACAAGGCAATTACTTCTTTGAAAAGCTGATTTGAGAAGTAAAAACTTTTGAAAGTATTTTTGACTTTTTGTTCAAATAAGTTAAAGTTATTAAATGAAAAGAAATTGCAAGAATGTTGTGCTACTCTTTACTATATTTTTTTCTGATGGTGATTCATTAGATATTGATTTAAATAATCTTTACTCTTAATTGAAAATGTTGCAATTTACTTTATCAAATGAATTAATGTTAGCCACTGAAATTATTGAGTTTGTCAAATCTGCATATTGTTGTCCAAATGTTTCAATCTCTTATAAAATTTTTTTTTATGGTTCTAGTGACTGTGGTATCAGCTTAAAGAAGTTTTTCAAAGATAAAGTGAATTAAAACCTACTTAAGGTCATCAATGTCATAAGAACGATTGAATGGTCTGACAATTTTATTGATCGAGAAGAAATTTTTAGAAAACATTAATTTAGATGTTATTATTAATGATTTTACATCTTGGAATACTCATAGAACTCTCTTTTTTATGATTTTTTTTAAGTTTTTGTAGTTGATGTTGAGATAAGAATTGTTTGAATGAAAAAATATTTTTTTTAATTTATTAGAAAAATTGTATTTGCTTAAAAAAATGTATTATTTTAATAGAATTATTAGTATATGCTTTTATTTTGTTCTATTACATTCTATAATTTTTTAAAAGGGTTAGTATTTCGCTTAGGGTTCCAAAAAGGTCAAGAAGGGCTTGAGTAATGGATATCCTGAGCTAAACCTTGAAAATTTTAATATGATAATAATTTTCAAATCTTCCTAACTATTATCCTACTACAATAATTTTTGCTAAGAAGAATGTCCATATTGTGACAATTTCACCTAAAAGGGAATATGTTATTCTTAAAGCACATTCTTGTACAAAGCTTAAGGTTCTAGACTGAATAGCAAGAATAACTTTTAATTTATTATAAACTCAAACAATAAATTCAATAAATTTAAGTTTCAGTGAATGCAATTGTGTAAAATATTTACATCGATAATTTTATTATGTATAGTAATACTACTTGACTTGAATAAGATTGATAGCACATTTTAAAATTAAAAAGATTAAATAAATGTGAATTAAATAATTTTATTAATAATATATATATATATATAATTTATTTTACTACAGTTATTATAAAAAGTTATAATTTTTAAAGAGACCCATTTAAAGTAATTCGATATTATCGTATGATAAAAATTACAAATAACACTCCTTAGCTCACCAGTTAATTAAAAATTATAATTAATATCCTCTTCATAATAATGAATAATATAGTCCATGTTCAAACCAAGCAAACACAATGAATTGTTGAACAATTAAATATATAAACACATAACAAAAGTCATGTTCACACATCTCATTACTAATTTGAATAAGATTATTTATGTGTAGTTTTGAACACGCAGAGGGTGAGAAAGAGGTTCATATTCACATAGGAGGATTAAAACATTTATTCATATTATTTTACTATCTTTGATAATTATAATAATATTTTATGTGTGTATTATTGAATATTTCATTATATCATATTATTTTAATTGATAATATGAGAAAATAATAAATTTTGAATAACATATTTATAAATATCAAAATTATGTAAAATTTAATATATATATATATATATATAATAATAATAATAATAATAATAATAATAATAATTTAATAATTAAATTCATATTTTATGAAAAGTTATTAAATAGTTTATATATTAAGTTTGATATAAGTATTAACGAACGAACCTTACGGTGAGAAAAGTTCTCACTAGATATAATCTTTTTTATATATATTGTCAAATTTATTTATAATGTAAATATTATAAATAATTATTAAGATATGAGAGATAAAATTTGGCGATAAAGTTTGTTAATAATTATAAAGATAACTAAGTGGCCATATTTGTAATTTACAATTTACAATTAATTATTTAACTTAATTATTACATCTTATTGGACTCATGTGATCGGAAGAGTTACTACAAATAAATAACATTTATTATTTTATTTATTAATTTATTATAAGCTTATATTTTAAAAATATATTTCAAATATAAAAGAAACATATAAATGTGTCCGTTCAACTGCTGGTAGAAATAATTCTATACCACAACTTTGTCATTCAGAGCTGTACCTCGATTTAGTGACGTGTCATTTGATAGGTTATCAGTATCTCAAAAATACCATCAAAATATTTTTTATTAAATTTTTTAACATACATTTTATTATTAATTAAAATTTATTAGAAAAATTATATATGTTAGTAACTGTGTAACACTCATATAAATAGTTTATATATAAATGCAAGTATTTTATTAAACATCATCCACGGACTAGAAAATATTTTTTTACAAGAACAAAATTGATTTTAAATTATTCTATATTTAGAAGTAATTATAATAATAAATATGAATGGACAAGTGTTTTTTTCTTTTTTTCACAAATATCTCTCGTAACAAAGTTTTTACTATTAAAAAATTTAAAATTAAACCATCGTTTACTAGTTAAGCTGGACTTTATTAATCGAGTGGACAAATTTTAAGAGTTTTGTTAAATAAAATATTAAAAAAAAAGTTGAGCACCATATATAAAAAACATATAAATATTTTTTTTAAAACACTTATTACTTTTCTTAAAACGTTATTTAAAATGTACTTTAAAACAAACAAATGGCCCAATTGATCACTCTGCAGCCATTGTGTTGTGAATATAATTGGTTGTTGACAAAAGTAATCACAAAGATCAGCTTCTTATTTAACCTTAGTTAAAAGAGAAAGATCAAAACCCTTTACATTAATTCCATTCGATGATTATTTGCAACTTTTTTCACATACCAAAATTAAAACTTGATTTTAAGTGATGTAAGAGAGGTATTTGTACTTATAATTATAGTTAATGGGAAATTAAAGAAACACAACATGAAATTTTTGAAGCTTTACTTAGTTGCACTAACCCCAATTCTGAAACTTCTATTGACTACTGCTTTTGGGACATTTCTTGCACTTGATCGCATTGACATACTCGGAAAAAATGCCAGGAAGCACATCAATGCTGTAAGTTTTGTTGGTTTCATTCTGATTTTTTAGCACCCAAATATTATATCATGCTCCAAAGTTACAAATTTATCTAATAGCAGTGTGGAGTTTGGAGTAACATGGCATGAACAAATAATAATTGATTTGGGCTACCCAAATGGAGTTCTTTTAAAAAAAGACTCAATTTTCAATTTTTAGTGATTGCTGGTTAAGATTATATTGAGTTTTAACTTATTTTGAGAAGTTGTTTTAAATGGCTTTTAGGAAAAAATATATATAATTACCCAATAAAATAAAAATTACTTTTTATAATTGTAACCAAACAAACTTCTATTTTTTTATATATAATCTTTAAAATTAGCTGAATTTTTTTTTATTTTCTAATAATCACTTTTGGAGAAGCTGAAACAAACGGGCCTAAAATTTCAGAAGTCTAAAGTGATTAGTATTTTCTAAAATTTTATTTCCAGAAAGACCAAAAAAAAGAGAATGTGAGAGTAGTGAGAAAAAAAGGGGATGCAAAAAATAAAAATCATAGAGTTGATAAAGAATAGTTCATTATTTGGTAACTAACTAATAATACAACCCCTTTTTTTTTGTGCAGATGGTATATTTTGTGTTCACTCCTGCTCTTATTATGAGTAGCCTGGCTAGAACAATAACTTTAAGGAACATGTTTATGCTGTAAGTTTGTACTTTCTCAATTATTCACTGCATTTTATTTTTCTTTTGAAATTTGTTTCTATTCATTTGTTCTCCATTTGATTGGTTGACAAGAGATGCTTGTTTTATTGAATAATGTAGGTGGTTCATGCCATTAAATATTCTTGTAACATATATTGCTGGGACATTTCTTGGATGGTTACTTATTAAAATAACTAGAGTTCCTCATCATTTGCATGGCCTTGTGTTGGGGTGCTGTGCTGCAGGCAAGTTTATTTAAAAAAATTATTTTATTTTATTTTTAAGGATCTTATCAATATTATTTACTATTGATGTGTGTCTGTATGTGTCTTTGACCATTATGCATTTGATATCTACAGGAAATCTGGCCAGTTTACCTCTTATTGTAGTTCCAGCTATTTGTACAGAAAGGAACAGCCCTTTTGGAGATATGAATGTTTGCTATAGAAATGGACTGGCATATGCTTCTCTCTCAATGGCAGTATGACACTAATTTTAAACATTTGGAATTTGAGGACTAAAACATTAGTCTCTAAAATTATCATCATAAGTTAATTTGGCCATATTACCAAAAAACAAATTTAGGGTGCATTTGAGTATACAACTTAAATTAAGTACTTATTTAATAAGCTTTTAAGGTTTGTTTAGAAAAACTTATGAACAACTTATAAAAAACAGTTTATGACTCTCATAAACTATTTTAAGCTTATTTTAATAAGTTTCTTGGTAAATAGTTTACTTGTATCAAAATAAGCTAGTTTCAGCTTATCCCAGTAAGTTTCATTATTAAAATTATGACATTGTTTAAAAAGACATTATTGAAACTTTTTATGCGAAATCTTGTGTCATTAATTTGAGTATAAAACTATTTAAAATAATTTAAAAGGAGATTGTTTTGATAAGGTATATTATGAGAAAGCTTATTTAAATAAGCTAAAAAAAGATTATAGAAATTATAAGTTATTTTCATAAACACTTCCAAACGCCTTTTTAGCTCTATACTTTGGCAGCAGTCAACCAATTTGATCCCAGAAATTGGCACCATTGGTCACAAACTAAATTTCTTTTTTGTGATGCCAAGGATTGATAAAATAAGATTTTTCATAATATCAAGGACCAAATTGATTGGTTTTGACAGTTCCCGGGACTAAATTGATGTTTTACTTCAAACATGATTTCTGAATTATTTAAATCTTTTGCACTTTGTTTCTGGTTTTTCAGATAGGATACATTTATGCTTGGTCTATAACATTCAACGTTGTTCGCATATATTCACCTCCGGTTTCAAATGTTGTCAAAGTTGATGAATCTGCAGTAACTCCAATGTCTGCAATAGAAACTGATCCAGAAAACCTTTCAAAATGTTCCACATTAACATTGGCCACGGCTGAGGATAATAACACACAGCCAAATGGTAGTATTGATCGACCTGAAATTGAATGTAAAGTGCTTGATGCACAAGCAAAGGTTGTTCACTTTTCTAATATAATTACTTTAAGTAAACATTTCTTTATTGAATGAATTTTTTTGTCCTGTGACCCTTAGACCAATTATGTATCATATACATCAATTGGAATGCATTAAAAAGTTTCAACAAAATATAATAGTTTCTTTTTGACTGAAATTTTACATTAATTGGCTTAGAGTTGAATTTTATGGAATAACAAGAATGATTGATGGCTTAGGCATTGCCTATCTCCAAAATGCATTTGTCTAGTGGGAGAAAAGTAAAAGAAGTGATAGGATTGACATGAAATATATCATGATTTCATATACTAAAGATTTGATAGAAGCAATGCCTTACATTTTCAAGAGTTTCACAGGTACCAGAAAAGCTGAAGATTATGAAACTGCTGAAAATACTAGCTGATAAGATCAACAACATGAAGGTACTAATTGCACCTTCAACGATGGCAGCGGTATGTTATGTCCATAATTCTCCTATTTTTCTCAATAGTCATCCAATTGTTTGCATCAAGTAATTCATTTGAAGGAGATAGTATCTTATGAAGCATATAATGAGCTATATTAGTAACAAGACAGAGAGTTGTAACACCTAAATTGTTTGGTCCTGAAGAAGGACTAAACAATGCCTCCTTAGACTTAAAATTTGATATGACTGAGTCAGTGTTAGATCAATGCCACTGATTTTTTGGTCTTAGATCACCCACGTCCAGAAACCACTTCGGATCCTTACTAATTCAAGTCAAACCAAGTGGACACACGACACACTAGAGGGGTAAAGTTTTCCCGGTGTGTATTTTCTCCATACACAAAACTTAAACCTAAGACCTTACTTAATCAAGCACCTTGTCACTTGAACCAAGAAGCATTGGTAAACCAATGCCTCCTTTGAAAAAGCTTAAACAATTAAGGGGCTGTTTGGTTTCAGAAACAGTTTTCTGCTTTTAATTTTAATTGCAAATTGTCACATTGTTTTCATTAGGTTTCCTGTTTTCAAATATTTGTACAAGAAACAGTGAAAACATAAAAAGTTGTTTTCAGTGTTCCCTGTACAAATATTTGAAAACAGGAAGCAAAATGAAAATAAGGTGACAGTTTTGTGATTTAAACAGAAAATAAAAAATGAAATTAAAAAACATTTTCAAAACCAAACAGACCCTAAATTGTTTAAGTTTGAAGCTTAAGAGAGGTTTTGTTACCTTGATTTATGAATGTTGGACCAGAACCTCATCCAAATAGCTTTTTAAGGTTACTATATTGAAGCCTTATTAATTATTCCTAGCAATGATTCTTCATTTTCCTTCTGTATATGCAGATTTTTGGTTTGACAATTGGTGTTGTCCCTCAATTTCGAAAAGTACTAGTTGATGACAATACTCCACTCCATGTTGTTCAAGACTCTATAACCATGCTGGGGTGAGAATCCTCTACCACCAGTTTGGGTGATACATTAAAATATACAATTACTTTATTTGATTGTTCTCTTTCTTTTCCCTTCTTTAGGGATGCAAGCATTCCAACAATGATCTTATTGCTAGGGGCAAATCTTCTTAAGGGTAATCAATTATCAATAACATGAAATTTTCAACTTCGTCTTTCATCTCATGGGTTAATATAATAGTAACATTCTGAAAATGAATGTGAGGACTTAAATTGGACACTTTTCAGGATTAAAAGGATTAGGAAAGCAACTTCCACTTATTGTTGGCATTATTGTGGTTAAATATGTGGCCTTGCCAGTAATAGGTATAACCATTGTGAGAGGTGCAGTTCATTTCAAGTGGATCCACCCTGATCCATTGTATCAGTTTGTATTACTGCTTCAACATGCTCTTCCACCTGCAATAGTCGTGAGTAAGTTGTTTCCTGTAGTATTTCTCAAATAATTGTCCTAATTAAATTACAGTTTGTGGTAACATTTTCGAAAGGAACTGAAAGATAAAGGCAAGATTAAGTAATTGATGATGAGATCCCAAAATTTGATTTGTTTGAAAGATTTGATAGGATGAGATTCATAACAAAACAAAAAGACAATATAAATCAGATGAGCATGATTCCAATGGTGCCAACATATCAAGGCTCAAAATCTATTGGTCTGACTGCAAAAACATTTCACTAAAACTTGTTCATATAAATGAAATTTACAGTCAGCATAGCAGTAAAATTTGTTCATTCTTTGACACTTGGCGATTTCAAAGTCTTTCATAGAGATATTTGACTTTTATGGCATTCTGAATAATCAAGCTTGGGACTCAATTCATAAGCTGATTAAGTTGTTTAGAAACTGAATGCAAAGGATAACTAATATACACAGTTAAAAAATTTATTATATCTTCCACCTACCTATAAACATCTTTGTCTAGTCATATCTATCCATTGAGACTATGCATACATTTAAATTTCATATGAACATGTTTGCATTTCCAATATGTTTTATTCAGCTCATGTCCACATATGACAGTTTATTTCCAACATGACATTGTGTTACATTTTTTTTTTTTCACATTTAGTTGGAAAAACGTTAATTCTGTGATTGTGCCAGGTACAATTACTCAAATGTTTGGAGTTGGCGAGGGTGAATGCTCAGCTATCATGTTTGCAACTTATTCTTGTGCTGCAGTTTCACTTAGTCTCTGGTGTGCCATATTCATGTGGCTTGTACTATAACTATTTTCCATTGCAAGATGTGTTTTGATGACTCACACATGCCTCAGTGTCATGGGCATCTTATGTTATGAGCCAAAGATATGAAGAGGGGAAAAAAAAGAAAAGAGATTCGTAGTATACTTTAAACTGTTTATTTGGTTACTCTAAGAACAGAAGTACCAAGCCATCATGCGTCCTCACTTTACATGACCCTACCCTTAAAGTAATTTAGTGCATGTTTAAACCGCATATGAAATCATTTTAACATGAAAGTGATAATTTGAACTAATAGTAATAAAATGAATCTACATTTGAGTGAATTTGAGGTTAATCCAAACACACTATTAGAACTTAAACGAAAATCTTTGTCACATAGTCAATTACGTTTATATTGAGTTAAATTATATCATTATTTAATTAAAAAAGGATATATGAGTTGAAATAGAAAATTTTTTGGAAAAAAAAAAATTTAGCCATTTTTTCCATTATAAATGTGTTAAGCCTTTGTGCTAAAAATAAAAATATTAAGCTGCTTTTATGAAAATAAAAATGTACAATAGTGCAATGGTAGATAGGCATGCCGTTGTTTCAGTAGGAAGAGAATTTTTTTGTTACCCAGATAACAGTTATCGTCTCATTTCAGGAAAAAATATTTTTTAAATGTTAATAGCTATTTAGGTCTTAAAATAGTCAATAAAAAATACTTTTGTATTTGTATCAGCTTGGTGAATCAAAGAACTTTTATAAGAAAAGGTATATATTATAAAGATTGATAAGGAAAGGCAAGTCAAAAGATTTAAAAAAAAATCATTATAGTATAACTAATAATGAAGAAAAGCTATATATTAACGAATATATTTGGATTAAACTTTTTTTTGCTAAATATTTTTTAGTAAGAACTTTAAAAGGAAATGCAATTATTATTTTTTTTTAAAATCATAAGTGTGTTATTAACTTGAAGTGATTCTACTCCCAAAAGTAAAAGAGTAAAAGAAGGCCACTTTATTGTATGATAGAGCTGGACAAGGAAGTGTAACATAGTCAGAGATCCAATTATCCTAAAACACAATATGTGTTAGATATTTATTTATTTATTTATTTTATCAAAGAGAGCTTTTTAAAATCTAATATTTTTCTGACATACCAAAACATGAATACATAATACATATATTGGAATTTATAATAAGAAGCATCTTTTGGTGTCTCCCTATAATGCATGTGTCTGATTTAAGCTAGAGGTGAGTTTGAAGCCAAGAATCAGACATAGAAATATGAAAACTAAAGTAATCCAACAATACCTTACTTTCACCAAACAAATAGATATACTCACTTCCTTGGACCACGTTCTACCTTGCAATATATAGTGGCCTTGTCATATAGTTGCTAGCTTTTGTTGTCATAGTCTTTCACAAAATTCGAAACATCATGGGTCTCCTTATGAGTTACATGGGAGGAACAGGTCAGACATTCTCTTCACTTTTTTTCTCCCTTCTATTGCTTTAGTATTATATATTATGTTAATTATAATATTTTTAAATAAAATGTTAAATATTTTTTATTAATTTAAAATTTTATAAACATGACTTATATAATAATAACTTTTAATCTAACAGTTGATTTTGTAACAGACACTCTTGAAACATAAGAAGAATTAATCTTACTTATATAATTATACATTGATAGTTAAAAAAATTAATTAGTCTTAATTTTAAGCATTCAGTTTAATCAGATGATTGAGATATTCTTTTTTTCACATTTTCATTTCTCACTTGAAACGCTTATTATGTATATTTATGGTCTTAAATTAATGAATTTTAACATAATGGGACATATCAGGATTTGGGTTAGCAACCCAGGCAACAAGTTTTGTAACAGGAACACTCTATGATCGATTTATTGAGAGACAAATCAAAGATTTTGATGCCTTCCACGCTGCAATTCTTGATATCTTCAAGTAAGCATATGATTTCAAATTTCAATGGAAATTTCAGTCATTACTTGTTAAATAAAAGGAAAAGAGGCATGTAGGAAAACAAATAAATGTATCCATTCTAAGCCTCATATAAACAAAATGAAGATGAAAATTACTTTAATGGAAATTTTAATTAAATATAAGATTGGTTTGCTATGCAAAATGCCTTTCCATTCTTATTCTCAAAATTGCGTTTTTCATTGGGCGACACTGCTTACTGATAGCTGCAACACAAATAAAGAAAACAAAGCATTTTTCACTCTACACATGAAGAATGAAGACACCATATTACTCAATAAATTAATTTTTGTTTAAATATGCTTTTGTCTCTCCAAACATATCAAGACATTCATTAATTTTTATTAAAGTTATAATCATGAAATGCTGACCTCACCGTGCAAGCGAATGGGTGATTAGCTGTGCCATGCCTTAATTCTGCAAGCAAAAAGTTTGCTTCCAAGAAGTCTTTGTAATTTTGTTTTTTCTTTTCCATAAAATTTCTCTGTTAGTCTTCTATTTATTTTACCCATTAACCATCGATTTTGCTTACATTTTAGTTCATTTAAATACTATTACATATCACAACCTTTTAAAATGAGAGATCAAATAAAAACTCATGATTTGTATAAAGATAGAAAGGAAGTAAAAATCATGATTAGCAAGCAAAACATATGGTGGAAAATTTTTTGAAAACTATGTTACAATTTTTTAAATACAAAACCATGTAAGAAACCCATAATATTTATAAAAATTAAAAAAATATGTCTAAACCATTCATTTTCATGCTGGAAAACTAAAAAAATTAACCTAATTCATTCACGGTAAATCTTTATTATTCTTTCAACAAGGTGATTATCATGAAAGCAGAATTATATACCATCAAACTTCCCTATGTTCCCTCTGATGAGATTGAGTGAGGCTTGACTTTATCCAACTTTGAAAAACAGTTTTACTGATAGTTTCTAACAACTTTTTCAGTGCTATCAACATGGCCTTGCCTGGTAAGCATTATGATGCACCAGCACACAGGGAAATTGAGGTCAGCTAATTCTTTTCTCTAGTAATACATCGAATTAGTACTTGAAATTATCAGTACTGATCAATTTACTCCTTAAAATTACAATAAAAAAAAATCATTTCAGTCCTTAAATTAATTAAGCAACAGTCATTTTAGTTCCCAAAGTTACAAAATAATAGTTACTTTGGTACCTAAAATTACAATAATAAGGATTAAAATGACATTTTTGTAATTTGTGGTTTGATGCATTACTCCTCTTTTACTACTTGTTGAATTTGCAATACATGCATCCCTCATTAAGTGACATGTTTCTAACAAGCAGATGTTCTATGAAGAATGGCATAGTGAATCCAGGGAGGATACAAAAAAGGAAATTTTCAGCAAATTCATGTACAATAATGTGAATCTCAGCAAAGCAGACGAATCTATGATGATCACTGGGTTAGTGGCTCCTCCAGCTGCCATGGTAGCTAAGAGAGCTGGACAATCTCTGCCTCAGCTAAGTGTTGTCAAATCCATCCCTGATGTTGCCTTTGTTCCCACAGCTACTATCTTTGCTCTAATTGCTGTTAAGCTCTCCAAGAGAATGGCATTCAAGAATCTCCCATCATAACTTTCCCTTTTGATGCATGAGATGTAATTGCATGTGTAAATCTCAAACTGCTAATTTTAATGTTTCATGTCATTCATGTTATTCCAATGCAAATAATTGTGAACCTTTTTTTTTTCCTTAAAAGGGTAGATAATTGTGAAATTGACACTAATGAACAATGATGAATTCCATTGCCAATAGGCATACAAAAAATACAGATAGGTTACTTCAGTGCCTTAGCCCTTGGTACTCAAATCAGATCCTTCTCAGAGAGTGCAAGTTTATGTGACCTGAGAAATCACAGAATTTTCACTCTAAGAAGGAAAGAATAATAGAAGCAGACAAATGATATGATCTCAGATAGTTACTCATTTTCTCAAGATTACTCAAAATATATTTGCTATCATCTTGTGCACCACGTAGACATAGCTTGCCTTTGAATGGCACAGCCTTTGCATACACATTAAGATTTAAAAGACTAAAATGAGATTCCCCTTAGAAGGAATGCTACACTGACAAGTTTTTTCTTATCATATACTAATGCAGTTTATGTTGACAAATGAAAAATAAGTACTTATTGAGAAAATATATTATTGACCATTAAATCGTACAAGTTAAAAGAGTAATGTGGCATAGCTAATAGCTATAACACAAAATATGTGCAAATTTCATATTTCTTAGATAGCAAAATCGTATAACAATATTCCAAGGAGCAAGATCATATACTTTTTACCGCTACGCCAAAGGATATAACTGGGTACAGTTTCATTCAATTATTGATGTGCAATAGTTCCAACCTAAATCACGAACTAGTATTCCATGAGTAATACCATCCAATAATTTACAATGAAAATTTTCCCTAAAGAATATAACATGCTACCATATTCACATTATGTGTACAATTGAAATAATTTCTCAATGTAAAAGAAGCACATAACCAGCATTTACACATTGAGGCAGAAGCAGATTGGAACTTGATTGAGAAATTCTCAGATCATTCAGCTTTGTTGAGTAATCATTCTAATTTGATTCAGATAAACCCACTAATAACTTGCTCAACCTCTTTGAGCAGATTTCATCCTTCTATTTCTTTTTTTCCTAGGGATATTTAGCTTCAATGTAGAACAGGATTCCAAAGTAGAATGCTTATTCTGCACAGCATTCTCAGGGTAGTCAGGTTCATTTGATTCATTAGCTGCCTGATTTTGCATCAGAACTCCATCCTTGAACTGCACATCAGAAGAGGCCAATATTACAAATTTTCCAAGTAATATTTGTAAGATAACATAAAGAGATTGTTCAGTCCTTTTAACATAAAACCTTATAATCGGATGCTTGAGCCAATGATTATTAAAAATTATAGGCTTTGAATATTTTTAGAAACAGTTTTTTGTTTCTAAAAAAACCAAGAAAATTTTTTTTGAAGCCGTTGTTATCATTATTAGTTAAAAAAAAAAGGTTTAACAACTAGAAAACAAAAATATGTTTGAGATTTTGAAATCCTTTTTCTGTTCTGGCGGTGGTAATTTTGTAATAAAATTCAAATTTTAAACCATCTTCTTTGTTTCGGTGTTGGACTAGGTCTATCTTCTTTTCACACTTATTTACATTCTCCACTTCTCTCCTCTCCCCTGTCTCTGTGGAAATGAAACAATAACTGCTCTCTCATTGACTCTTACAGTGTTTGTCAGAACCTTCTCTCTATCATTTTCCATAAACAGGCATCCCACTAGTTGAACCACTAACCTGTCAATCTTAGAAACTTTTTGTTTCTAATAATTTTTTTAGTTGAACCACAAAATGGTGTTGATACCATAGTAGTTTTTTCCATAGTTGGTTTTCAATATGATTCGTGAATGATGTTTTGATATAGAAGTGGATGATTTTTTTAGTTTTTAAAAACTAAAAACAAAAACACAATCAAATAACCCCTATGTTACTAATTCTAATTTTCAAACAACAGGCTATCGGCAAGGAAGAAAAATACATATCAAAGCACAGATCATTTACAGCTGTAAATCCGGCCATAGGAAATGAGGGCACCAATTACATACCAAAAAGTGCTTCCAATGACTACAAATAGGTATTACAAGGCACAAGTACAAGAACAAGGCAATTTTAAAATCAGGAAAATGACATGGATGGGATACAGCAAATCAAGAGAATCCACAAAAATTTTCAACTATACATAAGCCCACAATTACTTGTGAAATAGTTTCAAATTTTAAAATAAAATAAAGTTATGATGACATGTGCAAAAATCCACAAGTATACCACTACCACCAAAGATATTTATTGGAAAAATATTTGGTTAAGCATCTTAATTTTTTAACCCATTATAAATTGGATAACATGAAATAATACAGAACTTTGTAGAACAAATTGCTTAGGTAAATTCAGCCCAACGTGTTTATTAACAATTCATACTACTGATCTCTACAGAAGCTAAGTAAATCGGATTCCACCCTTCCCCAACTCTTACTTATATTGCTTTACAAATTTGATTAAGCATAACCACATACACTTGTTCATAACCATCACAAATATATGACAGAAAAAAATAGAAACTTGAAATTACTTTTATATAGAAAGCTTACATCTTTGCATAGATCATCAAGCTCAGGCCTATCAGTGGTTTCAATACAAGTAGTTATCCCTTCAAGACTTGTTGCATTTCCAGGCATAAGTAAATCTCCCATGCGAAACTTGGATTGAAGCTGAGACGAGGAATGTGGAAAACTAAATAAAAATTTGTTTCCATTACCAATGAAAGAAGTGGACTTTAGATAAAAAATGATTCAATCCATCACATGGCCCATGCATGCTCAATTGAGTCAAAGAACAAAACTTTCCAGGATTTTCACTAGTTACCGTGTCAGTTCTGGATTTTAACTTCTGAACTTGTGACTGTATAGCTTCAATCTGTTGAATGATGTCATTCAAGGATTTATCAACATTTCTACGGTCTACAGAAGACCACACATGATTCATCATGAAGTCCTTGCTATTACCATTGTCACCTCCTGATATCGATAAAACAAAATATAGAATTAGAAATTTTGAATCCTCATGGAAAATTGGAAACAAATGAATAAAACCTCTTTCCTAAAGAAAGGTCAAACACTTATAAGTTAATACAAGAAAATCCAGAGGAAAATCTGTGTATGTAATTTTTATGCTTGTTTGATTAACAATTTTATGGTGAGATAATTTTTGCAAGTTATAAGAATACAAAAACAGCACCATGTATATTGCAGCTACTCACCTATACCAACATCATTCAAATCTTTCAAACAAGTATCAGCAGTACAATTTGTTTTCTCTGGAAAATGACAGAAGTGAAAGAGAAATTATAAAACAAAAAGACAGAAAAATCAAATTCTATGACAAATGAAGAAATGGAATACCATAGTAGGAGAATAGACTATGGTTAGACATGTATGAAGCTAAATCACACATCTCTTCAACTCTTTCCCTTCTGTTCCTCTTCATAGCTTTATTCTTATGCATTCGACCCGTTATAGGGACTGCTTTGACATCAGAGTCATCAAAATTTAAGTGTGCAAAATCAAGCTGCTTAGTATGATTGTATGCTGCAAGCTCTTCCTCATATTTACATGCTTGAGAGTGAAGTTGCTTCAACTGCATCTCAATCCACTTACATCGCCACATAATGGGGCGAATGAACCTTCTCCAGTGAATTGTCACACCTTTTGTCGTCCTTTTCTTTCTGAATGGTTAATAGAGTAAATTGCAGAAATTAAAAATGATTGAAATTTAAATCAAACACACATTACAAACTTTAATCATGGCTGACACATTCAAAAATTTATTTATATAGCTGACCATATTACCAATCAAGAAAGAACTTCTGTATTGTCAATCTTGAAAACCAGTACTGATTAAACATAGAAAGAAAAAGGAATATAATGCACTAATTTTAAAAGAAAAATAAAATTGCACATACTTTATCAATCTTTGGACCAAAACATTCAAAGTGAAACATAGTAACATACCTTCCTTGACATGACTCACACCGATCATCACACATCAATGAGGACGGATCATGAGTACGCATTGGCGATTCAACTACAGTGTCGCTGAAGAATGAGGCATTCTCTGTGTCAGATCCTGTGTCACCAAAAGAGCTTGAACACTCAGCAACAACATCCTCACAAGAATCTCTCACCACAGAAGCTTTGCCAAAATTCATGCACACTTCTACATCCTCATCTTCATCCGATAAAGGAGTTTCTTTCGTTGACATTGTTTTCAGAATCTTCTGTCCTGAAAATGCAGGCTCATTGTCACAAATCATGCAATCTTCTCTGTTCAGAAATCATGCAAATGCCATACTATCACAACATATGAAACACAAGTTTCCTTAAATGTTAAGATACACCAAAAACCAATAGCACACAAGAAATTGCTTTCACTTCAATTTTGTAACATTCTTATGATTCTCATACAAAATACTACTACATTCTTGATATAAGGCATGATCTAAAGAACAATTTCAAAACTGATCATCTATAAAGTTAAAAAATCCCTCTTTTTCCACTCTTGCGGTGAAAAAATAGAACCCACAAACTCAAAAAACAGTCACTGTCCAAATTTCTATTACCCATTAATCATAATCACAAGATTCAATACCCAAAAAGGAAAGAAAAATATATGTCAAAAAAATATAACTCCTACCCGTAAACCAAAATCTGAAGGAGATAAGAGAAAAGCCAAGATTGTTGGAAGACCAAAAACAAGAGAATCAGAATCACTCTTGAGGATTTTTATTTATTTATTAATAACAATTTTTTTATGTAGGTGCTTGTAGTTCTTGCAAGTGTTAGACTTGGTTTTCACTTCAAGTTTGGGATTGTGAATTGGCTTATTTATTAATAACAAATGTTGAATCAATTTATGAATAGAACTTCTTCTTTTTTTCTAATTAAAAGAAAATTTAAAGAAAAAAATATTTTTGGTCGTTATAAGGAAAAATTTAGAATTACGTAAGTGAAAGAGAGGGAAAGTTAAGAAGAAAACTGTGACAGCTGGTTAGACGAAACAGGGCTGTTACTAAGTTAATAAAAGAAAAATAATTTGAATTTCAAATTTAATTAGTTAATAAAAAGAATCGTCGCTATTTAAAAACTGATATCCACAATGATCTGCATCCATTTCATGTTGAAGACAAGATAAAATATGAACTAAAATAATTTTATATTAATAAATTATTTTATTATCCTTTATAAGTGAATTAGGGAAGTTAAGCCAAATATTAATACATGTGTAACTTTTTAAAAAAAGTAAGAAATTTATTATTTTATAATTTTTTTAGAATGAAATATTTAATTTTTGAAGTTTTTATATTATAAATTTAAAATCATAATTACTTATACTTTTAAATTAATAATATATATACACACATATGAATACTTGAAATTTATTAATTTGGAAAATTATAAATACAAAAGTAAAATTATAAACTAGATGCATGAAAAGTCACATGATTTAATGATAAAGGGAATAACTTTTAAAAATATTCTCTTTCAAAAGTAAAAACTAATATCTATAATATAAGAGTCTATAGCTAACTTTTTGTCTGTAATGAACAATTTTTATCATTCGTGACACTTTTAAAATTGAAGAAAAATTGCAAAATAAATTATTTAAATTAGGTTATACAATTTAATTAATATATTTTTGTGCAATACACATGTATTGAATGGGTTTTTTTAAATTTAAATCAAATTCATAAGTAAAACTAAATAAAAATAGTAGATATTTTTATTAGCAATATTAAATAATTTATTAAACTAAATAAGAATAAATTAAAATAATAGTACTGATATTCAGTATTATTTTTCAATTTATATTCATTTTTATTTACTAACAGTGAATTATTTAATTTTATAATTGATTTATTATTTTCTTAATAAATATTGATTATACTTTTTGTAGATTATGCTAGAGTTCATATGAAGGAAAAAATAATTAAATAATTTATATATATATATATATACAATAAAAATTCTCGTAATAAAAATAAATTTATTAAGATAAATATAAGATATGGTATTGAGTGAATCGTCTAAAAATTTTGTTTACTTTTGTATATCTTGCGATGTGTCAAAATCCTATTTAAATATTTTACATGGAAAACCATTCAATTTGCTATAAATTTAAGCATTATTATAACTAATGATAGCTGAAATATAATAAAATAAAAAGGAGTCAAAATAGATTGAAATAAAATTATTATGCAAATTATTTGCATATTTTAGGAGACTGAATAAGATTTTGTATTTCGGAGATGTGGTAAAAAAAAGTTGTTTTTATTGATAATGAAAATTACTCAAAGCATAAAAATACAAATATTTTAAACTTTTTTGGAAAACCATAATATCTAAAATATCATAAAATAATTTTAAGAATGATTCACAAGCATTCTATTATCCTTAATTATGATTGAATAAATTTGAGTATTTATTAAAAATATAAAAATTATAAATATTTTTATCGAATAATTAATTAAAAATAACAACATAATACTATAATTGGTCCAGTCAAGGATTCATGGTATTGGTGTGTTATTGATACTACCAATTGCTTTAATTGAAGCTCAATTAGCTAAATGTTGGTCTTAATTTAATTGATAAGTGATTAATAATAGTAATTGTTTGATAAACAATAACAAAGTTCTATCTCATTGACTATATAAATCACTTCAAGTAGACTATATTTCAAAAATAATAATCATTTTATTAAATGAGTTAATTATTCTAATTCATTTCACAAATTACTCTTAAATTTTGAATCATTCTAACATAAGTAGTATGATACAACTTTCGTGAAAAAATTATTATACAGTCATTCAATAATATGTTTATTTAATAATATAAGTTTACTTTCACATGCATTAGTTATCTTAGTGAAACTTCTCAACAAATTATCATTGCATAATTAAATGATAATATAAAAAGTATTTCCACTAACAGTAAATATAAAATATATCTTAGTCAGCTAAAAAAATTTTCAATTTCTCCTTTTAAATTTTTTAAAATCTAGCTCTTAAAATTTATTTTTTATTTCTATCCGATCCGTCTATTAGTAATTTATTAGTTCATCTAATTTAATTAAAATATAATATCAACGAAATATATCACTAAAATCATCACATTTTTAGTATTTTAAAATGAAATTTTTACTTATAAAATTAAAATTAAAATATAGATATCACGTTATTATTCGCATTAACTCTATATCACATTATATAAGTCAAATTAGATATTACATAAATATATAATAAAAAAATATTAATGCATTAACAAAAGGACTATATGAAAAAAGGAAGACGATTTTGGAAGACTTTGTTTAAAAAATAATTAAAAATGAGAGATTAAAATGAAAAATTGCATAACTTTTGAAAACAGTTTCTAGCTTTGTATCTTTATCCATTCATGACTTGGGTGAATGATACCATTTCCTGAGTACAAGTACGGTATAGTTTCATGTCCATGCTACAAAGCTATCATTGACTAGCCATCCAATTCAATCAAGACCAGAGGATCCTACTCTCTGGAAAACAATGAATACTGTACTGTTATTGATGATTGACAGTGGATACAACTTACAAACCAGGGCAATAAAGATTATTGAACAATATGCACCCTAAAAATGAGAAAAAGTTAAAAAATTACACCCTTAACAATTATGAATGATGATTTCCTCAAAGCAAGAAGCTAAAAGTGTGTGTGGATTCATGTTAGAAGACCTGCAAACATGAATCCAATGCAAAAGCTTCAACTAATAATGTTGAAATAAACGTGGATCCATAGGCATTTAAACACGAATCAAAACATGCTATAAAGCTTGGGAAGTTACTGTTTCTATGTAGTAAAATCATAATAAAGTTCCTAGCTATATAATCTGTGCTTTAGACCTGTAGTTGTTAAGCTTCAAAAAGCTGAAATGGCAGCCTTGTCTCAATTGCATATGACGTCCGAGTAGAAAGCTATGGTCCTTCTTTCACAGTTTTGTATACTTAATAATTCAACATCAAAAACTTCAAACTGTTTTGAGCTGAAAAAGGTGGCAGGTCCTACCTGCAGAACACAATACAACTGGCATGTTACTCACTAGAGATTATTTACTTTGAAATCATGTTTCTCACAAGAGGTTTAAGCTTAGTTCAGTTGCAAGAACTGTAACTCATCAAGTATTAGTAAGAATGATAAGATAATGCTAAAAAATGTAACTCACATATATGTTTCTACAATTTGGACCTAGTACTGAAATGAAATTTTCTAATGCTGAGAAAGAAAAAAAGAAGAGAAAGAGTTTGAATCTGCCTGTTGATAGTTCCAACGGATTAATTATTTTTTGTCTAATTTTTGGTGAATCAATAGGTTATTGAATCTCAAAATATTAGTTCTGGTTAGGCATCACAAAAGAGTAAGCTGGATCCAAGTAGTAGACTTCAGTATTCTGCCAAAAAAAATTTCTGCATAAGATCAAATTAAACCCATTTAAATGAAAGGATCATGATTGATAATAACAAGATCCTCTCAGGGGATTGGGCGAAAGAAGTGTGAACTCTTAACATTGTACTAGCCACTTTTTAAAGAGAAATCTAAAATCCACTCAGTAAATGCCATATACATGTATCAAATACTTACTAATACAAGGAAATAGGATATATATTAAGGAAACAATCAATATTGACAGAAAATAGATAAGATAATGATTTTCAACAGAACTCTATGTACACCTTAGGCATGCCGTTTTCTATACCAGAGATTCAATAGTTTGAATATATCCAAACTCAGAGATTAGTTACTTCAGTTTTAACAGTTGTATTTTGTCTCAAACCAGATCAAACCAAATGTCAAGAGTTAAATTGTGTGCTTTCACAGCAATAAATTGCAATACAAGATCATTTTGTGCATATAAAACACAAGAGAAAAGATTCCAAAATACATAAGAGAAAGTAGATAAAAGAAAACGAGATATGTTGGAACTCACTGGTGGTCCAAGCTCAGGGGGAATAATGATTCTTCTCTTCCCACCTGGTCTCATGTCTCTAATTCCTTCCTCAAATCCTACATCAGAAAATGTACTTCTCTCAATTCCTTCAGCACTTATTTCCTCCCCTTTTTGGAACTTTTGGGGAGAGACATAAATCAGGCAAAGGATGGATTGTTATATTATACAGTTGCAAGGATATTGGTTTGATAGTATAGTACTAAATCTTAAATTCTAAACCTGGAACTAATGCGTTGCTACCCATGCGGATTTTGGCAGGAGTACCCTGCAAATAAGTGCTGTCAATGCGACGGCCAGATTCATTATAGCCTATATAGTGAAAAGTGACCTGCAAGGCATGATATACAATCAGATCATGAGCAAATTAGTTAACATAATTTATGCATTAAAAGTCAAGCTTTAAATTACAGTGCCTAAAAGTTGCAGTTTTGCAGCGCTAAAAATGACATTTTTTGAGATAGCTTCTCACTTTCAACTAATCATCTCACATGAGTGGCAAATGATATAGTATGACCCCAATATGGATGGAAGATAAAATAATGCTAGAAACAAAAAATTTACCATTGGGATTTTTTTATATGAACTAAAAATTAAGAAAACATAAATAACACAAATCATCTTATCAATTTCACTGCAAAGAAAATGCCAACAATGCAGATGACAAAATTTCCAGCAAATATTCTTGAAGTAGAATGGATGATGGCTCTATCAACAACAGTTGTCACACAAGCTATCATAAAAGCTAGAGAATAGCTCAGCAGCATTAGTTAATGGAGAAGCTACAATTTCAATTGGATATTTCTTTTGTAATTTCTTAGTTGCTATTGCTAAGAAATTATTCAATTACAAACTTCTAAAGATCTTTACCACATTTGCTGAAGTAAAAATGACAACAAAACCCTGAGTAGTTATAGATCTAGACTCTAGAGATTGGTTTTCAAAGCAAAAGAGGAATAGCTCTTTGGCATTGTGCGCTAGATCTGGGGAAAATTATATTACCTCTCCAATTGAACCACTCTCAAATATCAATTTCCCAGTTTCCTCATCCCACCAAAATCTAACAAATAAGTATGCAATTAGGGATGCAACCAAACAACTCTCCAGTGCATTCCTTACATATAGCAACTGTTTTAATATTAAAACAAAATATAGTTCTTTCTTCCCTTTAAGGTATGTTTGGAAGTTGAGACTTGGAAGGGAAGAGAAATTTTTCATTTCCAATAAACATTATATACTTTCACATTTTTTTTAAATAAAAGAAATGAAATAATAGATTAGTATAAATTTAAATTTACTTTTATAAACATTATATAACTCTTAATGTTAAAATTAAAGATTTGCCATCCTACCCAACTCCCAAACATACCTTTAATAATATTTAGAGGTATAGCCAGTTGCTAAAGACTATAAAAGGACAATTCTAGTTCTCATTCTGATGTAGATTGGCTAATATATTTGTAAAGTGCTTCTGCCAAACAATTGACTTAAGATTAAATTACAGAGAAAGAAGTAGTAGATTGCACAGAAAATAAAAGAAAAACCTGCTGACCATCCTTTGGGCAATCACCTTGACCAACAACAAAATCTAAGTATATGAGCCCTGAATCACTCTTTACATAGTTATCTGATGATATTACTTTAACTTGAAAACCTGAAACATAAACAATAAATCTGACAATCATATCCAAAAGCATATCCAAGAGGTTCACAACAAATAATAGAATTTTCTTATTGAACTTAGAAAGTAAAATAATCATATATGAAAAAGATGTGTAAGACAAGACATTTCGCATATAGTGAAATCACACTGATACATCTTTAAAGGGATGGAAAAACAGTAACCATCACCTTCTCTAATAAAGTTTGGAAAGTCCTCTGGTGCATTGTTTTCTTTCTGTATCCGCTTATTTTGTAGTAGCAAGCGTTTTTCGTCATAAGGATTCTTACTCTTTGTCTTAGCATAAGAAGATAGAGTTGGGAAAACACCAGTTGAGGCCAAAACAGAAAGGATAAATTTCCTCCTCAATGCTTTCTCAGAATGTGACATGCAGCTATTCTGCACTCTATCCATATAAATAAAAGGAATTCATGAGGAATAATCCATTCACAAAATTTCAAAAAAGCATATCAATCCACAGGTAACTCTTACATGTAGTCCTCTGATTGTTGGTTTCGGCATCCATGAGTTAATTGTTTCCTTTGAGACAATATAGTTCCTTGTACAACACAAGGGAAGTTCACTGCCAAACAAGTTAAAACCCTTTTAGTCAACAAGTAAAAATTCCCACTCTTTAATTTATTCCCTAATCATGTAAACATTATAGCAACAATGCAAGCTCAAAGTAGACCAGGTATCTACCTTAATTATATTAAATTTATGATCTTAGAAGCTTCTAACATCATCTAGTTGCAACAAACTCCAACATCACATTACATCCATATCATATTAAAGACTTGGGCATTCATTTTATACTAACTTAAAAATCAACTACAAACACAGAACCAATGGAGTTAAGAACATTGTGATGCTGAAACATGAACAAAGAAGAGAATTGAGGACTATTTTGATGTAGAGTGTGTGAGAGAAACACTTACAAGGAAATGATGGCATGGGTAATAAATAGCGTCTTAAGACCAGACCAGAGTGGAAGCACGACACCTGGTTTCGTGTTGCTCCTAGTTCTTATCCACTCTGTTTGTCGGTAAAAGAAAATTCAATTTTTAATTTTATTTTATTTTAATTTTAATTGATTTTTTTTTTAATTCACAACGTCTTGGGCTTTTCTTCTTCGGCCTTTTGACACTGTACTTTACCCCAAACAAAAAAAAAGAAACATCTTCGCAGCATCTCACAAAAACCCTAATTTCCAAATCCAAACACCCAAATAACCTTACTCTCCAAAACTGCATGTCCACTTGTTCTCAGCATTCGCATCACTATTTGGTCTCTTACTTAGTCACTCATCATCTCCATTCAGGTATATATATATATATATATATATTGGTTTTCTGATTTCTTAACTTGTTTTGGTTGCTTATTTCTTAATTGATGATAAATTCTATACACCGATACAGTCTGTTTTTGTTTTGCGGTTTTTGATATGCACAACTCAGATTTAGAAGAATTCACGTTTCCTGAGAAGTGAGAAAGGTAAGAGGTTAGCTTTGCTATCAGAGTTTTCATTTCTAGGTAACCAAGTTCCCTTGCTCTTTTATTTCCATGTCTGTTTCTGAATTAGTCGTGTAATTATTTCTGGGCATCTGAATCTAATATTTAGCAGATATTATGATTTCAACAAGTTGGACAAGAATTTTGTTAGACCAATTGAGTTCAATCAAATGCACATTTGTAGCACATTTAGCTCATAACAATGGTTTTAGGTTGAGTGTCTTTGCCATAACTGAGAAGGTGGCCAGTGTAATTGTTAATTGCTCTACAACACATCTTCATTTCCCTCCACTCCGATCCTTGCAATCCCCTGAATTTTCAAACAACTGATCAGTACAACACATCATCCACTAAAAAGTCACCGGATTTTTAACCCATAAATTTTATAAACCCAAGAATCAGTTTGATTTTTAGTGTTAAGAAACAGTCACAAGAGACAAGAGAGAGAGAGAAAGGGTCGAGAGAATTGGTAGAATCTCAGAATTTTCGTTACACACTGATCTGATACATTATTATTATTATTATTATTATTATTATTATTGTTGTTGTTGTTGTTGCTGTTGCTGCTGTTATTGTTGTTATTATTATTTTTATTTTTGTGCAAAATTGCATTATTGATTTTATTACTTTATTATTATTGTTATTCTTGTTATTGTTATTGTTGTTGTTATTGTTATTTTTTTTTTGTACAAACTTGCATTATTGTTATTGTATTGTTGTTATTATTGTTATTATTATTTTTATTTTTGTGCAAACTTGCATTATTGATTTTATTCCTATATTATACAAAGATCTAATTTTTTAAAAAATTCTTCAGTAGTGTTTGATTCTGGTCAAGGTTGGCATCTACCGCGGTGATTAAACCTATGAGCCTCTGTCGTTGGTTTGCATCATTTGATGAGAGAAAATTTTGGGGTTGGTTGTTTGTGTCAATTGGCTCTGTCTCCTTTGTCGGGTATTTCTTTGTTGCAGTTATATCCAAGCTTCTACCACCGTCACATGTTGCCCTCATTTCTTCCGTGCAAAATGACTGGTAATTTCACATGTTGCTCTCATTTCATGCAAAATGACACGTAATTATTAATTACATATAGTTCTTGTTTCTGCTTTCATGTCAATGATTTTTCAGCATGTTTTGTTTGGTGATTTTTGGAGAGAGAATAATGAAAAGTTTAAAATATAAGGGGTAGAAAGTTATTATTTGGTTTGCGGATGATAGTAGATGTGTTATTTATGAACATGGCTGTATATCATTCATGATAAAGATCTGATTTACTTGGGTTGGAATTTGGTTTATCATTTGCTGATTTCTCAATTACAGATTTCTCAATTTCTCAACATGACGGTTGTTGTTCTAGTATCCTAGGTGATTCTTTCTTTCTTAACATTATGTGGTCCTCCAAAAGTAGGTTTAAATTGCTGTTATTGCAGATCAATGCCTTAGGTTCCCACTTTTCCACGTGGTCTACCACCGCCGTAACATCACCTTTTGGAATCTAGGACAAAATAAATTTGATCTTTGTGTTGTAATGATGTGGCAATTAAATTCATTGGGAACAAATACTTTGTTTGTGCTATAGCTTCTTGCATAAGTAGCTATTGTTATTACAATTACTATTAGCTAAAATAAACACTCATCATTTTCTTTATTTATGTTTGACAAATATAATAGGTACTACTGCTTCTTAGTGCCACTGACTCTCCCTATAATTGTGGTTGCTGTTTACTTTCATTGGCTCAGCATGAAGTTGTTCAAGCATGCATAGCATACCTTCACCAAATTTTGAAGGTAGAGCAACAACTACCTATGTCAATTGTTGCTTTGCTTGTTAGCCGTGCTGGACCTGCACTCCTCTATTCACCTTAAAAGAAACAAGGATCTGACTTTGTGAAAATCCTGTAGTAACATCTTGTTCTTGCCTTTGTTATATGTTACATGGGATTGATTACTCGTAGGGGCTAAACATGTTTCTTTTGCCTTTGAAGCGTACCTGAGGCCTACCTTCAATTCTCACATCATCTAATCTTTCTATGTAAAGTTACATATATCAATCAAATCCTCCGAGCAAAATTGTTTTCAAAGAATTATTGTCAAAGAATTATTGTCTTATTAATCTATCTTCATATCAATGATACCTACTTAATTTTGTTCAAATGAAGAATGTACTAAAGGAAGTTTAAATGAAGTGTCTCAAGTTTTCAAAATATTTCTTCAATGTAACAAGTATCTAATTTGGTGGAACCACCCTTCCTCCTATTTTTTTTCTCTCCTTTGTTTCTATAAGGACCAAACATTGTATTGAGTCATTTTTATCTTTGTTATTGTTGCTTAGTAAATCCGCTTATTAATCTGTTCATTTTTCAGCTAATGTTACAGAAATATATCAATGACATGAAATTGCTTGTAATATTGATGATGCTCGTGTACTTGAAAACTTACAGTTGTTACCTTTTCTTGACAATGTTTAAGCAGGACTCATTCTAACTTGTAATTGGTTGGAAGACTTTTGACCAATTGGTAACTTAATAATATTTTATTTATTATTTATTATAAATACAGAAAATGAGGAGAAAGAAACAGTTGATGCTGATATGTCAAATTACGCCTCCATTAGTGTTTTTAAACATCAAGCTCAAATCATTAAAATTTGAAAATTTTAGCATTTTAATATTTTTGAGCAATTTGAACAAACTTATTAGTACCCATAACTTATAACTCTATGAATGATTAGTGAGTAGTATTTGGATTTTTATTTTTATTTTTCACTTTTTTTAAAAATTGTTTGATCGTGTGATGATCAACAGTTTTAACTACTAAATATTGATGGAAAAAACACCTATAAAAGCAATATAAAAAGTTCACTTAGCAGATATTAGCTTTGATAATGAATAACTTTTACGATGTTTTTATAATTTTTTATTATTTAATTATTTATTATAACTTTTTTAAATTTTCAAAAAAATGGTGGGCCAACTCGTGTGCCATCCCTAACAAAGGCAACAGAGTAGGAAGAATTTTTCAATTTATTTGAAGGAAAAAATGATGTACTCAGCGTTGAGCATCATCCCATGATTAAACTTAAGCTTGAAGAGGACTAATCATATTAGAAAAAAGGATATTTCATAAATAATATTTCACAAAATTTAGTAAATATTTGTATTATGGAATATTATTGAAGTAATAATAATTTATGTAATTAAAAGACGTTCTGCGATATTTTTCTAATATGGGATTGGTCACTCATCCACTTCAGTATTTTATCAACAAAAACGAGGATATTGTTTTCCTATTATCAAGACTTTCAATATTTATTGATTGTTTAATCATAATATTTGGTCTTAATTACTTATTTTTAACGAGGATTGTTATTTGTATCACCTTTTCAGTTTATGTGGTATTTTAGTTCATTTAATTTTAATTACTTATATTTAATTTTTTAAACGTTTAAATTGAGTTTATATTTAAAATTTTATTTAATAATTAATAAAATATAGCAAAGATGTAATATATTATTGATTTATATAAATATGCAAGAATAAATATATATAATAATTAAATAAAATAATTTTTATTATATTCATTTATTTCATATAATGTTTGCATTTAATTTTTTATTAATTTATACAAATTAATTATATATCACATTTCTATTATATATATATATATATATATATATATATATATATATATATTAGTATATTTTGATCGTTGAATAACTGATTAACCGAATTAAATATGAATAATTAAATTAAAGGAATTATTAAAATCATACGCAAGTTAAAATATAAATACAAAAAATACAATTAAATCTTTTTTTATTATTATTCAATTGTTGAAATAGATAGAAGGTAAATGAATTTGGTGGAATCAACTAATCAGCAAATCAAGCAGTCACAATTTTGCAAATCAAAGCAACTAGATGAAGAATAGACAACTAAAATTTTGTGTATTTTTTAATTTGATTTGTCAAGAATAAACGTTGAACTGTTCCATTTTCATTAATTCAACAGCTCTAATTAAGTGACTGCATGTTTCTTCCAAGTTTTGATAAATATCAAATTTATTGTTTATGTTCAATCTTAGGCTTACACTGCAATACTATGTATGACCTTTGAATACATTATTAATAGTTCCTAGATGCCATTCAAATGTTTTGTTATTTCAGTGGTAAGACTGGAGAGTGCCCTCATAGAAGAACCATGCTCACCAAGGGCAAAAGCAGCAGCATCACTGAACTCGTTCATTCTTTTCCTCATTTCCAACCCTTCTTTACCTTCCATGACTCTCTTTATAATCTTTGCAATTTCCTCTCTTTTCACTATACCACTCTCATCAACCATAGGCCTCAGTGCCACTTTGAGCTCATCATTGAGTATTATTGCATTCATCTTTTGCTCAGCAAATAGAGGCCATGCAATCATTGGCACCCCATTAACCACACTCTCTAGAGTTGAGCTCCAACCACAATGACTCAAGAAGCCACCTATGGATCCATGACTAAGGACCTCAATTTGTGGTGCCCATGATGGAACCACTAAGCCTTGACCTTTTGTTCTGTCCAAAAATCCATTTGGTAAATATGTTAGTGGATCCTCTTCTTTTTCTCCAATAAAATATGCAGAGGCTGGATAATCGTTTGGGCCTCTCACAACCCATAAAAACTTGTGACCACTCAATTCTAATCCAAAAGCTAATTCAATGAATTGGTCATAAGAAAGGGTCCCACCACTCCCAAAAGATACATACAAAACACAAGTTGGTGGTTGATTATCCAACCACGTCATACACATTGACCCATTTACCTCATTACTTGACTTAGTTTGAATGATAGGTCCAACTGGGTAAACACAAGGACCTTCTCTCTCTTGCAAAGCTCTTATCACATTTGGTTCCAAATCCGTGAAGGTATTCACGATGACACCATCAACCAAAGATAGTGTTTGACACACATCAAAGTATGATTTGTATGTTTCACTTGATCTTTCACAAAAAACTGGTTGTGGAAGATCTTTGACTTTGAAAGGTTTGACACAACCTGGAACATTCACAGTGTTGGTTGAGTCTAAGAAGAATTCATTGGAAGTAGTCTCATCAAGCTTAGGTAAAGAGAGGCAAAATGAGAGTGATACAGCCCCAGAGGCATAGAAAACATAAGACAAGAGGTTGAATTGCTTAGCCACATGATGTGCATCAGTTGAAAAAACGCTATACACTAAAGCAACTAGGTGAGTGTGAGAAGCTAAGGATTTTAATGCTTCACAAAGAAATGGAATTGAGTGCTTCACAATGAGTTTCATTCTTGTTGCGGGTTGCTTGTTCTCAGGAAGGTCTTGCATGTTGACTTGAGGTTGAGGGAGAATAGTGAAGTCTATGTTTGGTGGAAGACTGTTTAAGATAGCTAAAGTGGAAGGAGTCGGAGAACCAAGTGTTGGGATGAGAAATGTTACATTGAGGTTATGGTGTTGTAGAACCAATCTTTTGGCAAACTCCACAAGTGGGATCAAATGGCTCAATCCTGGAGATGGAACCATGGCAATGCATGTTCTTTCCCCCATGATATAGAGTGTATGGCATTAATGCATTATTGTTTTATGGATCTTGAGATAGATATATACAGAAGTGGATGGGATATTTTTGTAAGATTACTTTTGTTTAATATGGTTAATTTTTCATTCGGTAAGTGAATGACTAAACTTTTTGAGCCACGACATTGACTTGTCATGCTAATTTATTATCTTGTGATAGATGCATTGACATGCTATCAGAATAATGATGTAAGCTCTTACGTAACTTGTGATCAAAACAACAAAAAACTCACTTTCGAAGTAGCTTGTAATAGAAACATTGGCGGCATAGATTAATTGGTAGTAGGGTCAAATAGTTTGGAATTGAATGATTCTACTGTCTCCCATGAAAAATAGCCACTCAATACCAATCTCATTGGTTGGGATTGTTATATTCTCGAAGTATCAATGCAATGCAAAAGACTGGATCGAATTTAATTGAAAATAAAGAGAAGGAAGAGAATAGTGGAGAAAAGATTTTAACGTGAAAAAAAATTTAAATCGGAGAAAAAAAACTCACAGACAACGACCAGCAAAATAATTCTACTATGTAAAAGAGAGAGTACAAAAAGTCCTCTAAAATTATGAGGACAAAGAGTAATAAATCTCTCTATTTTTTTCTCTTAATAAATACTCTCTCAAAATGGAATAAGAGTTACAAAATAACACTCACAATTTTTTCTCAGTAATTTTTTCTCACTGATCCGTGAACAATGTGTCTCTCTGACTTCGTTAATTCGTTGCCTTTTATAGGCAAAAAACTGCTACAGTGATTTGTTAATTTTTCAATATTGTTACAGTAACTTACTGTAGCATTTTGAAAAATCTAGAGGACAGTGCCAACTGAATTTGAAAACTGAAACACAAAAAAAACGGTGCCTACAAATTTTGACTAACACCATCCAATTTTGACTAACAATCTCTACTTTGGATCAGTTTTGATAAATTGCTCGACGTCGCTTAAACCCCGAAGGGCGTTCAAGTGCTGTAGAGACCAACCAAGTTCAAGCAATGCTAGAACTTGGCCTTTGGAAGAGGCTTAGTAAGCATATCAGCTGGATTCTCAGATGTATGAATCTTCTGAACTACGACTTTACCGTTAGCAACAATTTCTCGGATAAAATGATGTCTCACATCAATATGTTTTGTCCTGTCATGGTAACGGTTATTCTTGGTCAAGTAAATAGCACTCTGACTATCCCAAAACACAGTAAGAACATCCTGTGTAAGACCAAGTTCATTAATCAAACCTTTAAGCCAAAGAGCCTCTTTCACACCCTATGTTGCTGCAACATATTCAGCTTCAGTCGTAGATAATGATGGAAGAGACTGAAGCTGAGCTTTCCAACTAATAGCACAGTTACAAAGAGTAAATATGTAACTAGAAAGAGATCTTCTTTTGTCAAAATTCCCACCATTATCCGAATCAACAAAACTTGTAACTTCAGTTGTTGCATGATTTCTATCAAATACCAAGCCAATATCAAAAGTACCTTTGAGATACCGAAAAATTCATTTTACAGCACTCTAATGATCCTTTCCAGAATTATGCATATACCGACTCACCATGCTAACAGCATATGCTAAATCAGGTCTAGTGCATACCATAGCATACATAAGACTACCAACAGCAGTAGCATAAGGAACGTGTGACATACGCTCCATGTCTTCCTCTGTCTCAGGACAAAGGTCAGATGATAACTTGAAATGTGCAGCAAGTGGAGTAGAAACAAATTTGCAATTAGACATATTAAACCTGTCAAGCACTTTCTCAATGTATTTTTGTTGAGATAAAAACAATTTACCAGCTTGACGATCCCTGCAAATCTCCATACCAAGAATCTTCTTAGCTACACCCAATTCTTTCATCTCAAACTCATTATTGAGTTGAATTTTTAATTTCCTGATCAGAGACTTGTCACGTGATGCAATCAACATATCATCAACATATAGTAACAAGTATATGTAAGATCCATCAGGAAGTATTTGAAAATAAATACAGTCGTCATATTGACTTCTGCAATAACCTTGCCCAATCATAAAGGAATCAAACCTTTTGTACCATTGTCTCGGAGCTTGTTTAAGTCCATATAAAGATTTCTTCAATCGGCAGACAAGATGCTCCTTACTAGGAACAATAAATCCCTCAGGTTGCTCCATATAAATTTTCTCTTCCAACTCTCCATGCAGAAAAGTTGTCTTAACATCAAGTTGCTCCAATTCTAAGTCAAATAAAGCAACAAAAGCAAGCAAAACACGTATAGAGGTATGACGAATAACAGGTGAGAAAATTTCATTAAAGTCAACACCTTCCTTTTGGCTGAAGCCTTTAACAACCAATCGTGTCTTGCATCTAGGATCTTCAACCCCGAGAATGTCGTCTTTCTTCTTATAGACCCATTTGCATTTCAAAGGTCGTTTGCCTTTGGGAAGCTCTGTTAAACTCCAAATACCATTCTTATGAAGACTTTCAATTTCTTCATTCATAGCCACTAGCCATTTTGAAGAATCAGCACAAGAAACAGCCTCAATATAGTTGGTTGGTTCAATGTCATCATTTATTTCTTGTGCAATAGATAATGCATGTGCAATTAAATTATCATCACAAGCATAATTAGCATATCTAGCTGGCTTAGTAATCGTCCTTCTTGGTCTGTTTTGGGCAATGGAATACTTCTCTTCATGCGGCTGAATTGGAGAAGTGGTAATCTCATCAACATCATCACCACAAATATCAATAATAGACTCATTGATAGAAGAAGATGGAACATCAACATTAGGAGTTGTAGATTTCAACTCCAACTCCACCTTCTCGCTAATACCCTGCAGATTATTAGTACTAGTAGAAGAAATCACAGAAGATTGTTTTCCAGAAGATAATAAAGCATCCTCGTTAAAAGTCACATCTCTACTGAGAATTAATTTTTGTGACTTAGGATTCCATACTTTAGATTCAGATGCATAACCAAGAAATATGCACTTAATAGTTCTTGGAGCTAATTTGCCATCATTGACATGTGCATAAGCAGGACATCCAAAGATTCTCAAATTGGAATAATCAAAAGGATTACCTGACCAAATTTCTTCTGGAATTTTGAAATTAAGTAACGAGTGTGGAGAACGATTAACCAAGTAACAAGCAATTGATACTGCTGCGGCCCAAAATTCACGTTGATGCCATAACCCAGCATTTGAGAGCATACAACGAGCTCTCTCAAGTAGAGTCATGTTCATTCATTCTGCAACACCATTTTACTGAGGTGTTCTTGGAATGGTTTTATGTCTAGCAATTCCATGATTTGCGCAGAACTAGATAAAGTCACCGTCACAAAACTCTAATCCATTATCCGTTCTGAGCTTCTTGACTTTTCTCCCTGTCTGGGTTTCAACAAGAGTTTCCCACTTCATAAAAGTGGGGAAGGTCTCATTTTTATACCTAAGAAAATAAACTTAAACTTTGTGAGAAAAATCATCAATAATAGTCATCATATAATGGCGTCTTCCATAAGAAGGAACTTTAGAAGACCCCTAGAGGTCAGAATGAATATAATCAAGAATACCCTTTGTACGGTGAGTTACAGTAAAGAAACTTACTTTTTTCTGTTTCCCAAAGACAGAATGTTCATAAAACTCCAACTTACCGATACCTTAATTACCAAGAAGACCTTACTTGCTCAAAAGATGCATGCCTTTTTCACTCATATGGCCCAGGCGCATGTGCCATAATTTGGTGACATCATTATCAAGCATAGAAGAAGATACAGCTGCTGAACCTGTCACAACAGAACCTTGCAAGAAATATAAAGTACCAACTCGATTACCTTTCAACAAAACAAGGGCACCTTTTGATACATTTAGTGTGACACCTTTACTACTTACTAAGCAATAAATATAAATACAATCATAAAATAACTAAGCAGTAAGAACATCACATGCATGGGTATATATATATTTATTCAGATATAGTGAAATTAAATACATTACCATTACTAGAAGTCTTCATTTCATACATACACGTCATCTGTTAATTTATACAATCATCCAGTTATCTAAATATATACATAACTGAATTACATACAAAATAAAGTGGGGTCACAATATCAGAGATGACAACCCAAAACGAAGACCTCACGAGCTTTCCCCTGGATCCATGATCACCAAAGTGCCCATTTCCTCTCAAAATTCAACAACGGTAAGGTTAGACTTCCTATATACCCCTTTTTCTTTTCAGTCAAAAGTACTTACACCTACGTATATGTATAGATTATTCCTTACTCGACTCTATCCTACTCTCCTTTTCCACTAGATTCCTACTCAGAGGAGGTAAAATTAGGAAGGAGTCCTGCTTGAGAAGCAGTCCTCTTCCTTCCGATAGCAGTAGAGGTGTTTAAACAGTGAGAAGAATCAGGAGAGTCTGAAGAACTAGAGGAAGACGAAGAGGAAGTAGATGAGATAGAGATAGGTCTTGCTAAAAGTGTGTCAACTAAACTAGTTTGTTCAACAGGTGGTAAATATGGTATAGAAGGACGTAAAGGTCTAAGAAAACCTGGGGGTAATACCGAGGGTGATAATACAGGGACAGGAGGTGGGGTAGGGGGTCGCACAAACTATACATCTGGAGGAAATGGAAAAGTAAGTCTCATGGGTACTCGGATGGGGATAGGATAAGCTCGTGGGCCTGGCCCATTTCTATCTAACAAAAAGGTAATAGATCCAGTGTGGGTGAATCGTTGTTGCTCCCAGTCGTGCACCCATCTTCCCTCGGGATCATATCTGATCGAGACGCTGAATTGGTACGGTGGTCGAGCCATCAATGTTCTTACCTAATAAACATATTCACACACAACACACATAGTAATAAAAGGGTGAGACAATTCGATTCAATCTCCAGCAGCAAAAGACATATAAGGGTTTCAATCACACAATTAATTATGAACACCCATAATCTACCAAGCAAATGCATATGCCATAAATGAGAAATGATGCAAGTCTATTATTATAACTTAGTACATTTTGACACATGCATGTGGGCCCAAAACCATCAATCTGTTTCTTTTACTCAGGGAAGGATCAGGAGTTTCACTGTTACTTAACTGCCAACTTTGTTAATCTCATAATACAGTAACAGCTCTACTAATACAAGAATCTCTCGGGACCAGTCAGGATAGTAAAGTTTTGCAGTGAGAGTCCACAGCACAAGGTGGCGAGCCTTGGCCACTGTCAGATTCAATCACACGTCACTATCCCCAAGACTACCCTGGAGCCGCCCCTAGATTTCTTATACTTCCCTGTCCACTCATCACACTATCACATGTTCATGATGCATGTCTTCATTCCTAATTAATTTAATTAGAGAAAAATTTTAATTTTTCTTTTTTTTTTTTAAGTACAATCCTTAACTTTTTCTTTTCTCAATGAAATTCGACAGAGTCTCCTCTGTAATCAGATATTCCAAAATTTTCTTCTTCCTGTAAAACAACCAGAAAAAAATCCAGAATACTTCTAATTCATTAAATTCCACCTCC